CGCACTGGTGTTCAAATCTGGCCCAGGACTGATGGGTTGACGGCAAACGCAAGGCGCCTTTTGTTTTCTACTTGGCGCTAAAAGGAAATCCACTCCAAAGAAACGCGCAAAAGGTCTAGAAATCAATTTGGTTGATCATTTCTCAATCAATTAGCGATCCGGTTGCCTTTTGTAGGCTTGCTTAGCTGCAGGGATTTCCGGGAAAGAGCCGGAGTGTGGGACGCCGTGCTGATGGCTCACGCCACGCCAATTGTCTTCAGAACAAGACTTTTCGCTGACTGTCATCCACGACTCAATTGTTCCCTTGTGAGCCAGAACAATCGAAGACCATTCAAATGTTTAGCCGGATCCCACCGGCTCGCTTTGCAACTTGAGCAACAGGCGCCATCTCTTTTCGGTCGGCGCACCGGGCTCCAGCCTTAAAGGATGTGGCCCGCAAACTAGTACGAATTATGATTGGGAGGTCCCTCTTGAAAAATTCTAGCTGCAGGGACACGTGCCCCCCCTGCCCCCCCAACAGAAAAAACAAGTGGATTTGCGCATTCCTGATTCTCGCTCGCGAACGCCGCGCCGGAGAATCAAGAATGCGCCCATCCAGCTGAAGGGGCCACCCCCCCCCACAGAAAAAAAAAAAGTGGATTGGCGCATTCCCGATTCTCGCTCGCGAACGCCGCACCGGAGAATCAAGAATGCACCCATCCAGCTGAAGGGGCCACCCCCTCCCCCCCAAGAAAAAAAAGTGGATTGGCGCATTCCCGATTCTCGCTCGCGAACGCCGCGCCGGAGAATCAAGAATGCGCCCATCCAGCTGAAGGGGTCACCCCCCCCCCCCCACAGAAAAAAAAAGAAGTGGATTGGCGCATTCCCGATTCTCGCTCGCGAACGCCGCACCGGAGAATCAAGAATGCACCCATCCAGCTGAAGGGGTCTCCCCCCCCCCAACAGAAAAAAATGGATTGGCGCATTCCCGATTCTCGCGCGCGAACGCCGCACCGGAGAATCAAGAATGCGCCCATCCAGCTGAAGGGGTCACCCCCCCCCACAGAAAAAAAAAAAAGTGGATTGGCGCATTCCCGATTCTCGCTCGCGAACGCCGCACCGGAGAATCAAGAATGCGCCCATCCAACTGAGGGGGTCTCCCCCCCCCCCAAGAAAAAAAATGGATTGGCGCATTCCCGATTCTCGCTCGCGAACGCCGCACCGGAGAATCAAGAATGCTCAAAGCCCCAACAGAAAAAAATGGATTGGCGCATTCCCGATTCTCGCTCGCGAACGCCGCACCGGAGAATCAAGAATTCGCCCATCCAACTGAAGGGGTCGGCGGCACTGGGCGGCAGCCCTTAAATCCGGCCTCCGGACGTGATCGGGCCGCAGGCCAAAGCCCGTTAGGGCTTACCTTCAGGTATAAGGCCGTGCGCCCCATGCCGCCGACCATGCGCGGACCATGCGCAGAACATGCGCATACGTTTTATGCTGGGCCCTCCCTTATAAGGGGCGAAGGATTTGCGGATTTGTTTAAGCGATTTTTGAGGAGTTTTGTAGCATCTCCCCGTAGAGTTACAAAACGAGCGCTTTTTGTGGGGTGCCTAATACTGGACAACACCCCCAGCATTGCCAGCATCATTCCGGATGATGCAGATGATGCTATGCATGCTAGCGATGCGAAACAAGGGGTTGAGGGGAAATGCAAGGAAGCAGGAGTGACTAGAAGTGAACAAAATGAAAGTCAAAGGAATGGCACTAAAAATGGGGAGGGCACTGGAGAGAAACCAAGATGCAGGAAAATGCAAGGGCAGAACGTGAAGGGGACCGGACAGAATGCGAATAAAGGAGTCTTCAAGGAAATGAAGAGAGCTGAAACGGCAGTGAAGTGGAAGTGAAGGGACATGCCAGGAAACTGTCAGGGAAGACATGCAAAGGAAAAGTTCATTCAAATCATCCCAAAAACTAGCAGGACTTGGAGGGAAAGGAAACCGGTGGCCGGCTGTGTCGCGTCAGCGTGTAAATCCGGCCACCGGACGTGATCGGGCCGCAGGCCAAAGCCCGTTAGGGCTTACCTTCAGGTATAAGGCCGCGCGCCCCATGCCGCCGACCATGCGCCGACCATGCTCCGACCATGCGGGTACGTTTTGGGCTGGGCCCTCCCTTATAAGGGGCGAAGGATTTGCGGATTGGTTTAGGCGATTTTCGAGGATTTTTGTAGCACCTCCCCGCAGCGCCCAAAAACGAGCATTTTTAGGGGGTGCCTAGTACTGGACAACACCCCCAGCATTGCCAGCACCATCCCGGATGATGCGGATGATGTTATGCATGCTGGCGATGCGGGTGATGCTGGGGATCTTAAAATATGAAATTCCGAAATTCTCAAACTCTTAAAATCTCAGAATCTTAAAAGCTTCAAAAACTTAAATTCTTTAAATCTCGAACTATTGCAATCTGAAAATCTTAAATCCATGAAAAATAAAATATAATAAAATTCCTTCAATCCGGGCTATATTCTAAATTCCTTAAACTCTTAATCTTGAAATTTTGAAGTCTTGACATCTTAAGATCTTAAAATCTTAAATTCCGAAAGTCGCCAAATCTGAAAATCTCACCAAAAATAAAATCTTAAAGCCTTCGAAATCTGATAATGGATGGAAAATGGCTGGGCAATGGCCTGGCTGTTATAACCTTCAAAAACCTTAAATCTTCGAATCTTAGAACCTTAATTCTTAAACCATTGAAACCTTCAATTCCGAAAGTCTTCAAATCTGAGACCCTTAGAATCTCAAAGTTTTTAGAATTTTGAAATCTTAACATCTACTCATCGGACTTACAGGAAAGGGAAGTGACAGAAACCCTCATGTCTTTGAATCTTCAGATGTTAAAATCTTAAAATATGAAATTCCGAAATTCTCAAACTCTTAAAATCTCAGAATCTTAAAAGCTTCAAAAACTTAAATTCTTTAAATCTCGAACTATTGCAATCTGAAAATCTTAAATTCATAAACAAGTAAAATATAATAAAATTCCTTCAATCCGGGCTATATTCTAAATTCCTTAAACTCTTAATCTTGAAATTTTGAAGTCTTGACATCTTAAGATCTTAAAATCTTACATTCCGAAAGTCGCCGCCAAATCTGAAAATCTCACCAAAAATAAAATCTTAAAGCCTTCGAAATCTGATAATGGATGGAAAATGGCTGGGCAATGGCCTGGCTGTTTTAACTTTCAAACACCTTAAGTCTTTGAATCTTAAAACCTTAATTCTTAAACCATTGAAGCCTTAAATTCCAAAAGTCTTCAAATCTGAGACCCTTAGAATCTCAAAGTGTTTAGAATTTTTAAATCTTAACATCTACTCATCGGACTTACCGGAAAGGGAAGTGACAGAGCGGGCAAGGCAAGGTGCCCGGTGGCCGGCTGTGTCGCGTCAGCGTGTAAATATACTATACATATTTGTTTGCCGAGGTGGCGCTAGCCCATGCCATGTCAACCGAGCCGCTGCGAAGGAGAATCAAGAATTCGCCCATCCAACTGAAGGGGTCGGCGGCACTGGGCGGCAGCCCTTAAATCCGGCCACCGGACGTGATCGGGCCGCAGGCCAAAGCCCGTTAGGGCTTACCTTCAGGTATAAGGCTGTGCGCCCCATGCCGCCGACCATGCGCGGACCATGAGCAGAACATGCGCATACGTTTTATGCTGGGCCCTCCCTTATAAGGGGCGAAGGATTTGCGGATTGGTTTAGGCGATTTTTGTAGCATCTCCCCGCAGCATCCAAAAACGAGTCCAAAAACGAGTATTTTTGGGGGGTGCATAATACTGGACAACACCCCCAGCATTGCCAGCATCATCCCGGATGTTGCGGATGATGCTATGCATGCTGGCGATGCGAAACAATGGGCTAAAGGGGAAATGCAAGGAAATAGGAGTCACTGGAAGTGAACGAAATGAAAGTCAAAGGAATTGCACGAAAATGAAGAGGGCAATGGAGAGAAACCGAGATGCAGGAAAATGCAAGGGCAGAACGTCAAGGGCACCGGACAGCGGGAACGAAAAGGGAAAGGAATGCGAATAAAGGAGTCTTCAAGGAAATGACGGGAGCTGAAACGTGGAAGGAAGTGAAGGGACATGCCAGGAAACTGTCAGGGAAGACATGCAAAGAAAGTGAAGTTCAAATTGCCCCGAGAAGTAACAGGACTTAGAGGTAAAGGAAATGAAAGAATGGGAAGGGGTGCCCGGTGGCCGGCTGTGTCGCGTCAGCGTGTAAATATACTATACATATTTGTTTGCCGAGGTGGCGCTAGCCCATGCCATGTCAACCGAGCCGCTGCGAACTCTCGGGCGAAGGCAGGATGCAGCGCATCCTGGACCACGAGATATCCTGGCAAGCCGGCTTGCACGAGACATGATCCTCACATAAGTTGCGACTGCCCGTGTCTTGCAGTCCCAAACGCCGGATCAATCAAACAAAAACCCCCTGAAAGGCACTGAGGGCAAGCATTGTCTGAGGGTCATACCAAAACATCCTGGGAGGGTTAGACGCGTACAAAAAGGATAAGGGTTGATTGCTTGGTATGCTCAAAAGGTGGGCAGGGTTCTGGGGCTTCTTTATCAGCTTGGTTGGTTCGTTGTTTCGGGTCGCTTCCGCGGCCCATGTCAGTGGCTTCGAAAGGACGCGCTTGCTTCGCCTGGGTTTTGATGGATTGCTCAGACCAAACGATCCACAAAGCAAAGGTTGACTTTTTGACCCAATCTGTCTTTAGTTAAAGGTCAGCTTTGGGAAAGTCAGATGGCAGTAACAGAATAGGTTCCATGTTCACTGGGTGATTTAGACATGGCTTGTCTGCTAAAGGGAAGCTAATTGCTTGGGCTGCGGGGGCTGCGCAAGAAGGGCTTGGGAAAGATTTGGCAAGCGGTAAGAACATGGAGGAACACGGCGCAATTTCATGCAAGAGACCAACTAAAAGGTACACAACACTACCAAGCGGCGCCGACACTTTCCGTACTTCTGGCCGCAAGCAAACTTTCTACCGAGCAATGTAAGCCGGCTCGCCACAACTGAAGACATGTCAATGTGCCGATGCGCGTCGGGAAGCTGGCAGGCAAGCCGCACGCGGATTTCTTTTTGCAGCCTTCGGGCCTGGGGTCATTTGCAAACGTAGTTGCTGTTTTTGCAATGCCGCCACAGCGAAAAATGTGACATGCCCACCTCGGCCAAGCCATAGCGCTCTCCCTGGCATCGGCACTTGCCCCAGTAGTAGACAAAATACCCTTCCGAGTCTGTTTCTTTGGCCTGGCATTTGGCACCTTCTGACTTGTACCAGCAGCTGTTGCCCTCGACAGCCTCAGCAAAGGTAACCTCGGTGGCCAATGTCACAGCCTCAGCGTGTTTAGAGGTATCCTCAGCAGCTAAAGTGGCTCGGCGATCAGTCCGCACAGCTGTGCACACCACAACGCACGTGATGCACAGGCTACGCCACACTGATGCCATTGCCCGAACGGAAACAAACTTCGCAGACTTGCAAACGGTACTTGGGCTGCCGATGCCGCGAAAGAAGGCATGAATCTTCCGCAAGCTCGCTGCAAACATTGGGCTTGAGGGCCTTGGGGCCCAACCTTCTGCAGTTTCAAGTGTAGCATTCGGATTGACAACACTGTCGGCCGGATCCTTTTTGTACCTCTTTGAGGTGCGAGTCTTTGTGCCAAAGCGAGCGCATGCTAAACTGACGGGACCTGCTGCATTCCTTTTGGAAGCGCTGGCCCGCTATGAAGAGCACCCCCTCTGTCTACGGCAACTCTGGAGCCTCGCTCGCCCCTCATGGTAAACGTGTGTGGTGGCATGCTGCATGTCTGTCATCACAGACCTGCACCGCTTGGAACAGCAAGGCTGTTCAGAATGGAGGGTTACCCAATCCTGATGCATACGCAACTAATTTTGGGAACCAAAGGGGTGGCCGGTGCGTAACCCAAAGGGCCTTTGAGCTTAGTGGATCGGCCAAAGAAAGTCCTAACTTCTTAGCCACTCCAATTGTCGTATCACACAAGAACCAAATGCAAGCCACCAATCCGAACCACCAACTCAAAGTTACCTCGCATAAAATCCAGGTGGAGGGAGAAACCACCGAAGTTCGACCTTCGAATTTCAAGCGCTTGGGCGGATACTTTGCACAGGCGTCTCGTGCAAGGCGTCCGTCTCTGGCGATGTCCGGGTTGAACCCAAGGATCCAGAGCGCGCGATCTGCCTCAGTCGGCTCACCCTTGGGAACCTTGACTTAGGCGAAACTCTTGACCAAAGTGACCTTGATTGACGTGGCTTTGCCACCAAAAAAGCTACAGTTAAAGTCAGTTCCGCAAACTTAACCTCAAACTCATGGTTTGAAAGGGAACAAATCAAGAATCACCTACCCCTGCTTGTACAAGTGGTTGGGATCTTGAGGTCAAAAGGTCCGAAGCAACGGCTACAGCAAGGATTGTCACAGGATTTGGCCCCGACCCACCCCTCTTGTCCCCAAGACTCTAACTTCCGGCAAATGGGCGACTTTTTTTTCAGGGACACACCCACCCCAACCGATTGTCCTGGTTTCCCTTTAAAACGAACAAACAACAAAGACCCATAGATCGTGTTTTGGAAACATAGATTGCCCCTAGATTATGGAACGTCAGCCAGGAATCGCCATCGATCCTTTTCTACCCAAACCAAAAACACGAAACATCGGAGAAGAAGCAAAAACGCAGACCATAGGTGGTCCTTCCACCAAAAACCACAAAGAACTGACCCTGTCACGCGCTGAACATGCGATTCTTTTATTCCCCAGATAGCTGAAAGCTACAGGGGTTCTAACTTCTAATAAAGAGGGGAAAGTGATTTGCGAGATTGAGGGCCGGGTGCTAGGGGGCATGCAGTTTGAGGTGCTGGTGGATGCTGCTTTGCGAGCTTGACGGCCGGGTGCTAGGGGGCATGCAGTTTGAGGTGCTGGTGGATGCTGCTTTGCGAGATTGAGGGCCGGGTGCTAGGGGGCATGCAGTTTGAGGTGCTGGTGGATGCTGCTTTGCGAGCTTGACGGCCGGGTGCTGGGGGGCATGCCGTTTGAGGTGCTGGTGGATGCTGCTTTGCGAGCTTGACGGCCGGGTGCTGGGGGGCATGCCGTTTGAGGTGCTGGTGGATGCTGCTTTGCGAGCTTTGCGAGCTTGACGGCCGGGTAATAGGGGGCATGCAGTTTGGGGTGCTGGTAGGTGCTGCTTTGCGAGCTTGACGGCCGGGTGCTAGGGGGCATGCAGTTTGGGGTGCTGGTGGGTGCTGCTTTGCGAGCTTGACGGCCGGGTGCTAGGGGGCATGCAATTTGGGGTGCTGGTGGGTGCTGCTTTGCGAGCTTGACGGCCGGGTGCTAGGGGGCATGCAGTGTGGGGTGCTGGTGGATGCTGCTTTGCAAGCTTTGCGAGCTTGTCGGCCGGGTGCTAGGGGGCATGCAGTTTGGGGTGCTGGTGGATGCTGTTTTGCAAGCTCGACGGCCGGGTGCTATGCAGTTGGGGGTGCTGGTGGGTGCTGCTTTGCGGGTGCTACGGGGCATGCAGTTTGGGGTGCTGGTAGATGCTGCTTTGCGAGCTTGACGGCCGGGTGGGGGGCTGCTGGTTTGCGAGCTGGCCGGCGAGCTTGACGGCCGGGTGCTCGGGGGCATGCAGTTTCGGGTGCTGGTGGATGCTGTTTTGCGAGCTTGACGGCTGGGTGCTGGGGGCATGCAGTTTGGGGTGCTGGTGGATGCTGTTTTGTTTTTCGAGCTGGCCGGGTGCTAGGGGCATGCAGTTTGGGGTGCTGGTGGATGCTGTTTTGCGAGCTTGAGGGGGCATGCAGTTTGAGGTGCTGGTGGATGCTGCTTTGCGAGCTTGACGGCCGGGTGCTGGGGGGCATGCAGTTTGAGGTGCTGGTGGATGCTGCTTTGCAAGCTTTGCGAGCTTGTCGGCCGGGTGCTAGGGGGCATGCAGTTTGGGCGCGGGTGGATGCTGCTTTGGTTGTACCGGGTGCTAGGGGGCATGTTTGGGGTGCTGGTGGATGCTGTTCGCGTGTAACGGTTCGTGGCTGGTGTATCGTCATGATGTTCCCACGTTATGGTGTGTGGGTGTAGTGGCGCCGTGATGCTGTCAACATCAGGATGATGCAGAATTTCATTAAGCTGTCGCAAGATGGTTCGTGGCTGTGGTATCATCATGATGCTGCCTTTACCATCAGCATGATGCTGTTCGCATCACCATGGTGCTGTCCGCATCATCATGATGCTGTCCGCATCATCATGATGCTGTCCGCATCATCATGATGCTGTCGAACTCATCAGGACCTCGTTTTTGCTTTTTCCTGCCGGATTGCTCTCAAAATCATCATTATGCTGCTGATCTCATTAGGACGTTGTCTGCGCGTTTGTTTCGTGGCTGTGGTGTCATCATGGTCTACATCATCATGATAATGCTGCGTCATGGTTCGTATCCGTGGTGTGCTATCTGGGGTCTATGATGGTGTAACTTTATTTTTATTTATATATGTTTCTTTAAAAAAAAGAAGAAGAAAAAAAACATGTTTTCCTCAGCGCTAGGGGCAGTGACCGTCGCCAGGGCGGGCGCCCGAACAAGACTCGCACCACCGCTGGGCCGAGGCAGGGAATCTGCGCCACACGCCCCGGGCCCACGAAGCCCATGCTGAGGACCAGGAAGCCCACCACCTCGGCCAATCGACTGACACCAAGGCGGACGGGCCTCACTCGCCCATTCTGGGGGGAACCGAAAAATCGACTCACGCTGCTGAATCAGCAATCCGCGAACCGGAAAAAAGCGACGGTTGACAAAAACACACTCACACTGCAACTCCGCAAACCAACAACAAATCGACAAATTTGTTGGCTGATTTAGGAAAACTTTCAAGCCCTCACCCCTTCTGGTTGGTTTTCACGGTAAAAACCATGCTGCCCAAGAAAGAAAAGGGTGCCAGTGCGGCGCCACGTCACCGCAGAGACCGCGTAGTAGTGCCAAGTCCAAAACCTGGAGAGCAAATGAACTTTGCCTTTGTCCCGGAAACCAGTAAGGCCGAAGCCGCAAACAAAACGCCACATGTCCCTTCCCAACCAAACTGTTGTTTGAAGCTCAGCACTTCTCCACCCGCCCCTGAATGTATCCAATCCAGCTGGTCTGAAACGCAATTCTTGCCTGTTCAAAGCCATGCGCGTCGAAAATGAAACCACCATGATTCTAAAGTCAGCATGGACCACACTGGTCCGAGACTCGGTCTGCCCGGCTATGTGTCAAGCCATGCGATGCCATGCGTAGGGGACCACTTCCGGCTGTTGGGAACTAACCGTTTGGGATTCCCGTAAAAATAAATTTAAAACAAAAATCGGGGATTTTGTCAGTTTAATTTGTCATTCCTTGCCTCTCAAACCGAAAAAAAAAATGTAACACCGGGCAAGCCCATCGGCCTGTCCAAGAGGTGGACCACCAGCATGGGCGCCCAGAGTTGCTGGCACCGGGCCGCGAAGGGCTTCCGCTCGTTGGGCAGCAGCAGAAAACCCAAGAAGGCGGCCACGCACTCCACGGCCACGATCCTGTGACCCAAAGGGGAGAGACGTCTTTCGCGTTTCTTGGTCCCAGACCTATACATGAGGTCTCCCCATGAGTTGGATGGGTTTGGATGTGGATTGATCCTGGCAAGTGTTCAGCTCAATGGCTGGAGAGCTGTGGTTTGGACCTGGTGTGGTGTCCATCGAAGACCTGAATCGGGGGTCTGGGAAAGAGACAACACAAACACCTCTCACCTCTCCCCTTTTGGTTGCCCTTTGGTCGCCCAACTGTAAATAAGGGGTCTGGGAAAAAACACTTGCGAATCCCCGTGTGGCGAAAGTAGATGACACAATCCCCCTTTATTCGATAAAGGGGGTGACTAAATCAAGCTGGGACACTGTGGGAATTGTACCCAGCTGGGGTCTGTAAAAAGTAAATCCAATACCTATCCCTCTTTGGTTTTACCCTTGGGATACTAGCTGGGTGAAATAAAAATATGGCCTATTTGCACCAAGTATCCAAAAGAGCGGGGACCTCAATCCTTCTGCGTGCTCCACGTCGTACATCAGCAACCTTGCGAAGCATCATGGGGCGTTCGAAATGGAGTCCCAATCCCTACTCCTAACCCCTGGTGAGGAACAACTACAACACGGGAACATCAGGGAAGCCACCCCCCGGTCGAAGGACTGAGGATTGATTTTGAAAACCGGAGAAAGCTTTTTGAAACCCTACAAAACGCCTCGCACCAAGGACAAAGCATGTTGTCTCAGAAACGGGGTCTGCCCAAAAGGTCAGATACAAAGGCCGATTCGCTTTGCTCACTGATTCTGGAGGTCGTTTTGCTCTTTAGCTCCGAATTCAGTAGGGGTTTTGATGGCGGCCCCAAGTTTGGCTGCGGGCTAAGGATTGGTCCTGGACTTCCCTGAAAAACATAAGGCCAACCTTTTGGAGCCATGGCGATGCCACTTTTCCTATAAGACAAATCGACCACCCAATCGATCCATGTGGCTTCGGGACGGATCCGAGTGACAGGACAGGGCTTCCCAGCCAAAAGATGCAGCTCCCGAGCACCAAAGAGCAGCTGAACTTCGAGGCGTCGCCCAATGGCCCACTGCGCGCCGCAGCTTCACGTAACTCGGGCCTTGGACAACCCCGAGTGAAGATCTAGCGGAAGGAACCTGTTTCGTGGCGCCCACAAGCTGGTGCCAAACATGATGGTTTGGGTGGCTCCATTTTTGGCTTGGGTGGCTCCATTTTTCTGCAGCATAACTTCCATGAGATTCGCTGACTTACTCCTGTGCAACAACGCTGTCGTAGATCAGGGGTGACTCAGTCTCTGGAAAAGGCACAGCTGATGCCTGAAATCTAAAGAAACCATACCCTCTATCCCTGGAAGTGGACCGGGTTTTGGGAAACTACCAACCTCTTGACAAGGCCCCTTGTCCAATGCCATGATTGTTGGTAAGAGGCCAACCCTGTCAACAAGCTAGCCAAGCGGCGTGGTGACATTCATTCGCATCAGCACCTCCACCACTTCCTCCACATCCTTCTCATGGCCGCTCTCTGACAAGGCTGCCAGAATGCGGTCCTTGTCTTCTTCCCGAGAGCTCCTGCAGGGTCCTTTTCAACTTTGGGATCAGTCTGGCACGAGGAAACCTCCACTTGAACCCTTTTCTAAGTTCCTGAGTCGGTTGGCCAGACAAGCCTAACGTGGATATTTAGCACTGAAATGGCCTTCCCAAAAAATACGTCTAGAAACTGTCCGAAAGATTTTCCAGAGCGCGATCCAAACAAACACCAAGAACCCTTCTAAGTCGTGGGGGCCATAAGTCGTGGGGAACCCACCAAAACAACAAGGGATTCAAAGCTGTGAGGGAGATAAATTTATTGTTGCAAACATGGACCTCTGTATTTGTCCACCTGCTTCTTATCGGGTGCGTCACATTTTACCGGGAATCCTTTACTTTGTGAGGAATACACCAATTTAATGGGTGCCCAAATGGTGGTTCTCCTTTGAACCCCCCTTAACCCAGCCAAGAAAAACGAGACGCCTCAACCAACACACACACACACACACACCCGCCTGGCGCCGGACAGGCCCTTGAAGCCCTTTTGCAGCTGCTTGGACTGCTGGTGGGCGTCCGCGAGCATGAGCCGATCGAACTCCATGGCGCAAATCGCGAACCAGCAGACGATGAGCCCGATGCCGTTATGCTGCTCCTGCGTCGGGGGAGATGGGGCAAAGACCCAGTCCCCCATGAAACTAACCATGGAACCATTCAGTGTACTTTGTTGGAGTTTGGGAAAATGGATGAAAGGCACAGTGAGCCTCTTCCAACAAAAGAAGGAACCATATGAGGCGGTTTTTTTCTTCTGGAGCCCGCCCTGGAGCCTTGTCCCCGCGTTCTCCGAAGAAGGTGACTGCCAGGTGCCCCGGGCAGCTGATGGCTGCGAAGACGATGGCCACTCGCAGCACCAGGGAGTTGGGGCGACTGTAGAAACAGTTCCAGAGGTTCCTTGGCGACCGAAAGCGACCCCGAGAGCCAAGGTAAGCGCGGGTCAAAGGATGTGGCTTCGGAACCCAAAGTGTCCCAAAGGGAAGTTGGCGGTCTTTCTCCAAAGGGGAAATCAAGGCACGCCATGCACACCCTGCAAAAGCGAAACGGGCTTTCCCGCGCTTTCCCGTTAAGTCCGGCGATGCTTCATGGAGATCAGGGTCAGCAAGAGTGAAGCATAGGAGTAGAGCTCGTGCTCAACCCAAGGCATCGCCAAAACCGTCAAACCTGGGCGATCCCGGGCGACCAAAAGGTGCGCGGGTTCAAGCGTTCTTCCGAAATAATATTTTGTTCGGTCCAAACAGCTTTCTGGATTGGGGAAACGCTCGTCAAATCGTCAACTGATGCATCGAACCGCTCAAGGGAGGCCTCTAGGCAAGGCCTGGTCACCTTCAAAGGAAAACCAACCGGCATTTGTGTAACATCCCAAAGGTTGCTTGAAGAAGTGTTTGAATGGTTCACACGGGGCAGCAAAGCCTCGTTTACGACCTCCTTGAAAAGTGGCCATGGGTCAAAATCCGGTACCCCCAGTGAACATCCCAATCCCCACTAAAATAGGTTCTAACATGGGTGGTGCATGGTACCATTGGTTTTGACCCACAGCCAAATTGTCCAAACAAGCCCCCAATTTGGTCGGGGGTGTGTCAACGCGAACAAACACGCCACATATCGCCAGGAACTGGCACTGGCCACATAGACAGCGCCCACCCGCAGCACCCGGAGCCACAGGTTTTGGGGGAAGGACCAGGCCGTATAGATCTGCTTGCCCCAGGCATAGGCCAGAAAGGCCTTAAGGTCGGTTTCCAAGGCCAAAGGAGCCCGTGTTGGGGGATGCTCCGAAAAAGGATAAACCTAAGGACCTGTGGCTTAAGCCTATTTAAGCCTACTGAACGTCCCCCACCTGAGAAAACGAAAACCTGGGGTCAAGCCACCCCGCCTTTCCATCAACATGACGGGGCTCGGCATCGTGTGACTCAACCCTTGAGGGTGCAGGACACGGCCGGTGAATGTGCAATTCAACCGAGCATGGTCCATACCACTTGCTTAAACAACATCCGGTCGATTCCTCTTTGAAGGGAGGGGGCTAAGTTGCAATGGGCACTTTGAAGGCTTGAGCCCTGCCTCATAGACGCACCAAATCCGTGAATAGATGCTGGCAGATCGATTGGGCACCACCAGGATATGGTGCGCCACATGCAGCGCCTTGGCGAACGGCGACTCCTCAGGGCTGGCGATTAGCTCTCCGATGTCCAGATTCTGCGGGTTGGACAAGAAGCAAATGTAGGCGGCCTTGGCCATCAAAGGCCATGACGCCAGCACCTTGTCCAAAAACTCGTAGACGCCTTCCACCCAGCAGTGTGTGATAAAGAGGTCACCTGAGAATTGAGACACCCGCCATGTGAGGCAAAAAAAGGGGGCGCAACCGCTTTTTGTCGGTGGAATTTGAAGGGAACAAGTATCCCCCCCCCCAAAAAAAAAAAAAAACACACTCCACGTGCTCCAGTCTGGAAAAAACATGTCCAGTAGTGATAGATTCCCTAAAACCAACAAGAGACAACAACACACATATTCTTAAGCAAATGGATGCAACAAAAACAGGGTACCGCTGGCTGCCCCAGGTCGCATTGCAGGCCATGCGGATGCTGCATTAGCGCCCAGCTGGCTTTGCCGCAGGCATCAGTCACAGGCTTAATGTACTGCTCCGTGACCTTGGACACTCGCCATTTTCAAACACAGACCGAGTACCCTTCCACCAAACATGAAATCTGGGGGGGTCCTGGAGTCCTGGAAGACCATTTTCCCGCTAAAGGGACCCCTGTCAAGTTCCATGGTGGTTAGTGGGAGGGTAAATTGCTTTTGGCTTTTGATGGGACACAGGGGGCTTTCTCTGGCTCCCGCCGAAATCTTTGGCGGGACTCAAATATAAGCCCTGGAGGTCGACCCATATGTAAACCTAAACAAACATGTTGCGAGTCTTTTCCATATGTAGCTCACACTGAGATTGATAGCATCTTTTTGGAAGAGCTGGAAAAGGGGACTTTCTGAATGTACGGAAAATGCCTGACATATCGCAAGTACAAAGGACGGCCTGTACATTCCCACATATTTGTGGTTGGTTTACTTGGGGCATCCACATCCTCCGAGTGGCCGTATGCATGTTCGGTCCAATGGTAAAGTCAGTGGGGTCGAAGGGGTCGAGCGCCGTCGGCTGAATGTCACCCTTCGCCACCGCCTGCTGCACCAAGACACGAAAGTCCTGGCCAGAAATGCGTGATTTTCCTCTCACTACCGTGGATCCCAGCGACCGCTACTGGTAAAGAAGCCGTCTTCCTTTTGCTCCTTTTGGTCTTTTAAACATGTGGGACATGGAACAAAAATCACTGGGCTACAATTAAAACGGCCAACTTGCTCAAGCCCATTTTTTTCTCGTGTGAACGCCCGTGGACCAGCTGCAAAAACAATCAACAAGGGGGATGTTTAAGCAAACTTGCGGAACAAGCGCCCGTTTTGCTTTACCCTTAAACGAAGCCTGATTTGAAGGCTTACCTTTAAACAAGATTCACCTTTAAACAACCTTCTTGTAGTTTACCTTTATTCAAACAAACGGCTCACCTTTGAACACGCCTTCTTGGATTTTCTCTAAATTGGGCCATCATGGACCACCTAATTGCAACAACTTTCAACTCACAAATTCCTGCAAATCCCTCTTGGTCACGCACCAGCGCCCCATGGGCACTTCGCGGTGAAGACTTGTGCCATCCACCTGCGCCCAAAGCAAGCGCCGCCGCCTTGAAAGCAGCTGCCACAGAGGAGGGATCCGGAAACGCATCAGGAAGGTACTGAGCAAAATGCCCAGCAGGGCGATCGCAAAAACCGGAAATGCCGAAGTGTGCGTCAAGGAGTCCCCACACTCGTTCTGTGATGGGCCCGGGCAGCACGTGAAGTGCACGATGTGTGGGTAAAAAAGCCCGCTCGTGTTGTGGGCACCCACTTGCCAAGGAAAGTATCCATCAGCACACTCGCATGGATCGTGAAGAGATCCACCGATGCAGTCGCCGTCCAAATCCCGACCTCGCACTTTCCGACTCCAGGACAGAAAAACCGCTAGCTGCTAGGTCGCGATGTATCAATCAATTTATGAACCGTGCCAGTAAGGTTCATCTGAATGTCAGAACCGTCGGCAACATCCAAATCCGGAGTTCCTAATTGGTTGGCTTTGCAACAGGCACCGTGACTGGCCAATGCCCGCACCAAATCGCCCTGATCCTGACCTTTCGCTGTGGCCAACAGAATCTTAGCTTGTCCGTTGACAATCTTTGGTCATTGGGAATTCATGCGCACCAACCATGTAAAGGGTGCTCCCCCTTCTCAACCACCATCCTGAGGCTGCAGCATAACTCTCGCCGCTCGCCCTCACACACGGCCATGTGCGCCCAGTATTTGGGCTGAGCACTGCGGGCAAGGCATGCTGTGGTTGGTCTCCTGAAACCTACCTAGCCACGCCGCAGCCCTTGCGAACTGGAGAAGGGCCGGCTTTCCACGTATACATCCGAAGGAAGGACGTTGAGAGCTTCGGGTCTACTTCGTGTCAAATTAGGGGGAACCCCCAAAATTGTGGTTTCCTTACAGTCTCTTTTGAACCAAGGGACAGAACACACACACACACACACCAACTTGTCGACATGTCTGTGTCAAATCGCCCTGCGTGTCCACGACCCCCCCCTTCCCTCCTTTTTTAGGCTATGTTGAAACCCGGCAGCACCGCGGTTTTGGCTTCCCTGTAAAGGGCAGGGTTGTGTAACCACATGGCCAACACTCGTGGGCCATGGTCATCCCTGGAGCTGGTCCTTCTCGCAGCAGCTGCTCCACTCTCTCGCTGCTCTGCGCCCCTTCCGGCAGCTGCAGCCACGCATTCACCTGCCAGTCGGTCCTCTTGGTTTAGGGTGGGTTTAGGGTGGGTTTGGGGTGGGTTTGGTTTAGGGTTGGGTGGGTTTAGCGTGGGTTTAGGGTGGGTTTAGGGTGGGCTTAGAATGGGTGAAAGCTTCTTGCTTAAACAATTCGACCCGCATGCATCCAACAAAAAAGAAAGCTCCCTGCAACAAGCAACTGCTGTCCACATCGATCATTTCTTGGAAACCCTGGGCGCTTCCCTTGTGGTTGGATCGACGGAACAGCCTGGTACGTGCCTTGGGTCTCTCGAGGAAAATTGGTTTCCGGGCCTCAAATCTGCCATGTTAGGTGGGAGGGTACTTGTGTTTCTATACACGCCGCTATGTTCAATGTGATATCGGGGTACCCGAGAACAACAAGCATCAACAAACCGCGCAATGCCCTTGCTCTGTTCCCACCCGCAAGGGGCCTGCACTGAGCAATGCAGTGGCAACTTGAAGGAATAAGTCCCCTCCGAACAAAAGAAACAAACCAACAACTCCCGCTCCAAATGCAAATCAACAAGCCAACCGTCAAGTCAACCAATCAAGCATCAACATCTCTTCATGCAAATCAAACAAAACAATCAGGAAATGAAATTTACTAGTGACTCCCCTCCAACAACAAAAAAGAACAAGGAGGCACCAACCACGTCTCTGCAAACGAAAAAGCAGGCACCTCCAGATCCACGGAGCCTATCGCGCCCTGCAATGCCTCATCCCGACTCCGGTGAGGCACCTGCCGCGCTTGCCAACTCAGGTGCAGCCCTCGACTTTTTGACTTGGTGGAACCCTAATGTTGACCCCGTAAACAACAAAAACACACACACAAAGAAACAGCGACAAACCAGTTTATTCATAGGGGGTTTTCCAGTGGAAGAGAGGGATTTGGCCGGAGTTGGAGCGGTCTTCAGCGGTTTTTTTAGTGGGGATTTGCTGACTTTCTAGAGGGGGAGTTGACCGGTTTTAAGGGGGATTTGACCGTTTGTCGTTTTTCGGGGGGGGCAAGATCCCTTTTTCGAAGGAATCTGACTGCTTCCCAGCCCTGGGCCTTCCAAGCTCGCTGCAGGCGGACTCCCCTCCAAAAGTTGTCTGATTCCAACCACATTTCACCCAGGTTGACACCCCCCGAGTTTAGAAACTCGAGTTGATTCATACGGGGTCAACATTACAAACCCCTGGAATGAGACTTGGACTCCCGAGTAAAGGATCTATGCCATGGTGAGCTTGTTTTAGGCCCCAGTGAGCTCGCCCAAAAATAGGCAGATCAAATCGTCGGGCGGCGGTGTATTCATCAGTTGTCATATGACCACGCAAACACTCACTCACAGACACAAACGCAAAACGCCCCAGCCTGCTCCCAGGCATGTCCTGAGCAATCATGCCCCCTGTTCTCAGGGGGAGCCCGTGAAAAATACCCTGGGCACCCCTGATGAATACCCAGTTCTCAGGTCAATCTCAGTTGACCCATGGAACGCAGGACGCCATCAAATGTATGCTGCACTGGGCTGCAAACGGAAGACTCCTACCCCGCAATTCAGCGCATGGCCTCTTCGGAGTTAAGCAGTTGCTATTGCAGGAGCTGCAAGTTAACTTGCAGCCGCCGAACAACTCCCAACACCCAGTGGCCCATTAGGGCGCAAGTTCGTTTGTAGAACTGCGATGGGTGCGCATGGCCAAACCAGGGCTTTCTGGAAAGGAAACACACCTCACCGACAAGCACTGCTGAAGCCACATGAAACCGAAAAGGGGAAATGAGATGCCTGCCAACTTGTCGGCATTTGGCGCTCCATCGGATGGCTGTTTCGAGGCAGTTCTTTTCTCGCCAAGTGTCCATCGCCATGGCGCAGCTTGTCGAAAGCACGTCTGACGCTGCCCACCTCGCCCGGAAACCCAGGATGAACCTTGATTCTGAGTCTCCATAGAGGAATCCCTGCAAACCTCTTTGGGGGCACCAATGCATCCGTTCTCAATACTTGCCCTTTTTTCAGCATCCAGCCAAAAGGAGAGGGCATGGAACTGTTCTTGACCTCGACGAGGCGCAAAACGCCCATGATGGGACCCTCATGGCCTGGGTAAAGTGACATCCCTCAAAGACTGAGAAGGAACCCCTTTCTGGGGGTTGACCATGCAGACTGCTGGAAGGGCAGGGATTTCAACTCCCGCGCCTCCTTCAGCGCACGCTGGTGCTGACTTTGCAGCTGCAAGCAGGGCGGGTGCTTCACGGCCTGAAGGGCTGAAGGGCCCGAAGGGCCCGAAGGACTGAAGCCAGGGAAGCCGCCCGAGGTTGAAGTGGGGAAGAACTTCTGACGATGTGATGCAACAAGGGCCTAACCCCAAAGACTATTTTGTTAAACAGGGGGATTCCCAAAAGTATCACAGAAGTGGTTGGAGAAACCCCGAGCGATCCCGCAACCCTGGTCAAAGGGAATTGGTTGCCCGAGGATCCGAATGCGCAACATGGGAAGTCAAAGACATACCCCGCGGTTGGGGCGTTTTTGCGGATATATAACCCGTTGCGCTGAAACCCGATATGGACCCCACAATCCAAACCGTACCAAAACGCCGCAGATATGCCGCAGTTGACAAACCGACGCCCTGTTTGACCCCTTAGTAGGTAGCGCAGCGTCTTTCACAGAACCCAGGCCGCCCATGTTTCGCAACATTGCACAGGTGTCTTGCAAGCATCAAGACTGATCCAAAACCGCATGCCCCAAGAAGCATTCCTACTACGTAAAGCTCAGATGTGGCGGGTTCCTTGAAGCAGCAAAAACCAGCGGTGTGCGCTCAGGCCTGCAGAAAAGTCCCAAGCCCCAGCGACCTGGCATCCTGGCACTTGCGAGTCATGAGCAAACAGCCTGGCATGTTCTGTGTGAATCAGAAAAGCACGGGCCTGTCCCGCAATTAGGTGGCAAGCGAGTAAGCCATACAAAGCCCACAGCTAGCCGACTGAAATGCGCAATGCATGGACTCGAATGTTGAAACCTGACAATGCCGCATGCCTAGCACAAACAACGAGCTTCGCGTGTTGCTCCTTGCGCAGCCATTGTTCCCCAAAGCGGCCCTCATCCCGAAGTCGCAGCCACGTGGTTTGCTCCTCCTCGTCCCAGAAGCTCTCCTTTGCATGGCCACAAGCAGGGGCCAACTTTGCCCCAAAAAAACACTGGTCTCTAAAGTAGCGCAACTAAGCTGGAAGACTCAAAACGTTTCACCGCCAACCGCTCCATGCTCCCAACTTCGTGCATGTCTAAGTTGCGGCTGTCATTGCCAGCACCTGGCGTCAGCGAGCGCAAAGCCGAGCATTTTCCTCCAGCGCACTGCTTGGGTTCCCTTCTGGTCACGGCGAGTTTCAAGCAGGAGAAGCACAGCTCGCACTCCCGCCTCCCCCACGACATGGAGCTGGCCTGGTGCCGTTCAGTGCACAGCATCACCCCAGTCTGGGCTGCCCGTTTTCAGATCCCCCGCTAAAAGTGACGAAGGCTAACAAGCTAAGGGGATGGCTGGGAGCCAGCAAGCTAAGGTACATCTTTCCGCCATGTCACCCCATGCCACCAACTACCAACCTCTCGCAAGCGAGCTCCGGTCGAATCCACCCGGCCTATGCTAGCACCATAGCGGCCCGACTCCCGATACAGCCTCTCGAGGTTCCTTGGGAGAATCCGCGGGGCGGGCAGGAAATGTCGCCTCATCCAACTTGCCATGAGCCAATGGCAACCTCCCAGCCAACACGGATCCCGACAAATAGTGACCCCACATTCGTCAACCCCAGAGTACCAATTGAGCCTCCAATGATTCCCAACCACAAAAACACCCCCCATGAACAAACTGGGGTTGAACTTGATTGATATGGGCTCTCACGATGACTCTGTGCAATGACTCTCGTGATGACTCCGTTCAATGACTCTTGTGTGATGACTCTACGCAATGGCTGCCATGATGACTTTGTGCAATGACTCTTGTGTGATGACTCTCAATGGTTGGCATGATGACTCTGCGCAATGACTCTCATGATGATTCTGCGCAATGACTCTCATGATGACTCTGCACAATGACTCTCATGATGATTCGATGCAATAACTCTCATGACGACTCTGTGCAACGACTCTCGTGATGACTCCGTTGAATGACTCGTGTGTGATGACTCTATGCAGGCTGTCATGATGACTCTGCGAACTGACTCTGGTGCGATGACTCTATGCAATGGCTGTGATGACTCTGCGCAATGACTCTCATGATGCTTCTGTGCAATGACTCTCATGATGACTCTGCGCAATGACTCTCATCATGATTCTGCGCAAGGACTCTCATGATGATTCTAGGCAATGACTCTCATGATGACTCTGTGCGATCACTCTTGCGATGACTCCGTTCAATGACTCTTGTGCGATGACCCTTTGCAATGGCTGTCATGATGACTCTGTGCAATGACTCTCATCAGAATGATTCTCCCAACGGAACACCTGTCTTTTGGTGTGCCCAAGTTGCCCTGCGCTAGCTGTTATGTGCAAGTGCTCTGTGCAGTTTGCTTTGCGCAGGTTGCTCTGCGCTAGCGGCAGCGCTCTGTGAAAGTTGCTCTGCTTCGCATACTAGTTTTCTGATTGAAAAGTTCCATTATGCAGCCGGAGCTGCAGGACTGTACTCCGCGTACTACAGTTGTACTTAAGAGTTGCGATTTCCAGCTGCGTCCGTGCGTACTACGTTCGCACTTAAAAGTTGCATTTTCTGTCTAGAAAAGCTGCCGCGGACCAGGCGGGGATCGAACCCGCGACCGCGCGACTCCAAGAGCAGGCACGCAGACCACGCGACAACTTCCAAAGACCAGTTCGCAAGCAACAAATTCGCACGGCGCCACAGCGAGAACGCTTCGACACGCACGATCCTCGCAGAGGGTCGCGCGAGCATTTTCAGAATCGAAAAACACTCAGTTCTTGCACATCGACCACCGCAAAGGGTTCATCCTGGAATATCAAAATCGCAAAAAAAACCCTCAGTTTTTTGACCTCGACCACACGAATCTCCGCAGAAGGTCGCTCGCACACCGCAGAAATCGTAAAGAGTCCTGTTTTTTGACCTCGACCACACGAATCTCCGCAGAGGGTCACGCGTGCACTGCAGAAATCGTAAAAAGTTCCCAGTTTTTTTGACCGACCACACGAATCTCCGGGTCGCTCGCGCAGATCAGAAATCGTAAAGAGTCCTCAGCTTTTTTGACCTCGACCACACGAATCTCCGCAGAGGGTTGATTTTCGTAGAGTGCTGTCTGGCCTACCCCGCCGCTCTAAGAAGAGAAGAAAGGCATTTAAAACTCGTTATGAGTGAGAACTCTCATGAGCATTGCTCCTCGCCAGTGACTCTCACGAGCATTGCTCCTCGCAAGTGACTCTCATGAGCATGCTCCTCGCCAGTGACTCTCACGAGCATTGCTCCTCGCAAGTGGCTCTCTGCTATGACTCTGTGCAATGACTCTCATGATGATGATGACTCTTTGCGATAACTCCCATGAATCCAACGGAAGAACCCTTCGCCATGCTTTGGCCAAAGCCCCCCTTTTCAGCTTCAGGCCCGGAAGAAAATTCGCGGCTCTTTTGTGCGCCCCGTGCTCACAAGGTTTGCCTGAAGGACTTGGAAGGAGGCCCTGCGAAGCAACGCAAGAGGTTCTCTAAGAACCGTACCCCTTCCATTCCGCTTCAAACAAGCAACCACTGGCTGCCATGATCGAAAATCCTGTGGGGTCTGGCCATGCTTCCAAGGGGCTGATGACATACGCAAAAACGCAGTTTGCTGGCTCTCAGGACATGAAGGAGATGAGGGAATAATGACAAAAAAAAAGCATCCCATCACCATCCTTTATGGTTTCATTCAAGATGATCAGGTGAGTCCCTGAGAGCCAGGAAGGTCATTACTGTAGTGGATTGCTTCGGCCATACACCTGGCACTGTGCCGAGGCTCGGTATGCGGTAGCCCTTGTTGTGAGGCAGGAGGGGCTCGATGGGGCGACACATGGCATAAACTGAAGGGCAGTGCACCACCTGACAAGCACAGGCCCGCCCCCTAAAAACTTGCTTGGCCTACCTTTGAAGGGGACCAGACCTGTTTGAGCATGGTTGCAACAACTCCTTGTAATTTACCTTTATAAAAGACATGACACAACTTGCGCAGCCAACCCTGAAGGCAACCCCATTCCGAATCTATAGTGCGGGGCCTCAGCTCTAAACTGAGTGGCATCTGGAGACATCAAAGGACGAACCATTGATTATGTGTGGGGGTTGATCATTAGTCCTATGACCACCATCTGTTTTGGTGGTATCCCTATTGGTCACCCCATGCAAAGGACCTTTTGATCAACCCCCATGTGCCATTTAGCGCCGCAAGACCAATCGGAGAGTCCGCCTGACCCTGAAGAAATGAAATGTCGCCGTGCTTCTTGCGAAACCTTTTGCGCCAGTCTCCACTTTGGAAACCCCGAAAAAACATATTCATGGCTTCCTTTTGGGAAAAAGGGCACTCCTCAAACCGCACACCGTATGACCAGCTTGCAACCGCGCAATCCGAGCCTGCCACCATCCTCCTTCCGGGCGCTTTTCCCAATCTGGGTCCTCCCAACTCAGCCCCATCGGCCGGAATCTGGCGCCATGGGTGCGCCTGGTAGCCGTCTTGAGGCTGGGCACATCTCGGCACTGGTGACACACCTATTCATCAGCTACCCCTATTGGTGGCCAAATGGCCCCTAACCTCACCACCAAACTAAACCACCACCAATTGGTGGAAAGCTGAATTCCATCATGCTCTCATCCGCAAGGGCTTGAGCCCGGAAAAAACAAACAGCTCCATCCGATGCGCGAATCCCGATGCTTCGAATGCGTCGAACCGCACTTTTGGCCTCTGCATTGGAACCGGGCCGACGGATCTTGGACAAGGTTGCGTGCACCTTCGCCGCGTACTCCCCCGCAGATAAACATGGAACCAAGAATCAGAGTCTGTCGGAGCAGACGGGACATCATGAGTGTCGTTTTTTTCGAGGCACCCCCTTTGCGGCGTTGTTTCAAAGGGAGAACGAACAAGCGTGAAGAACCGGTGAATATGTATAAGGCCATCCAGCCTGAGACTGGCGAAAGTGCATCGTCCCCGTTGAGATGCTAGTCCCACCGGGTCCGCATCCTGTCGCATCTTCCGAGGCGTGGCGCGCTACGGGGCAGGCATTGACCAAAGCGAGGGTTGCCCCCGCCGGAATTGAGCTAACCCTTTGCATCAGGCAGAACTTGTGCAATGGGGCGGGGACTTGTGACAAGGCGAACTGCAATGTTTTACACACCTGCTTGCTGGGGAAAAACACATTTGCACACTGGCCTGGATCAGAACTCTCCATGGCCGAGGCTACAGGGGCTCTTGCCCTAGCCATGTGGCTTGCTTGCCAGAAAGCGCCAAGAGGTGCGTGAGCAAATCTGATTGCGGAAAAAATGGGCGCATTTCCGCTCTTAGACGCCCTGGCCGGGCTGTCCAAGAAACCTATCCAGGACACGCGCCATGAGACAGTCATGCAAAGATCTCCGCGCATGGTGCTAGGATTGAGACAAAAAACCTATCCGCATGTCGCATGCCATTGAAACATTCTGCGTGCTTCGCGCGGTGCAGAAGTCACTCCGCGCTGAAGCCGTGCAATTTTTGCCTGCAAACTTGGCTAGTCAAACAACTATCCTTCTAAACCATGCATGACTCAGAGCGACCTGCGGCTTGTGGCGTTACGAATCCTTCCAGCAAACGGAGTCATTCAAAGCTTGCGAACAAATTTGGCTGCAACATGGCTGCAACATGTTGAGTAAGGAAGCCCTCCTTATTGTGTGGTGGCAGAAGCACCACCTGTCCGACGAAGCCCATTAATCGCACCCAGCCCCCCAAACCAGAAGGCCCAACTCAGCGCCCGGCCGATGGCCACTATTTCTCCAGCCAGGCTTCCTGTCGCTGCGACATGACACCATGGCTGTAAGCCATGGGCCTGACGGACATCCATTTCGCACCAGTTGGGTGGTTTACCAGCCAATTTTCACAAGAGTCAGGGGGTTATGCATCCCAACTGGTGCGAAATAGATATTTTGTCAATCCGCCTGGCTACTAGTGTTGGATGGCCTATGCCATGCGTTGGATTTGATGAATGGCTTCTCAGGATGAAGCAGAACTGGTTGATTTTGGTCCCAGGTCCTGGTGTCCAATTCCCTTTTTTGTTCTTGGATTCAGAATGCCTTTGGAGGGGCCTTTCCCCACCCAAATCCGGGAGCCCAAGTCAGGTTTCGAGCCGAAGGGGCGGACCCAGAATCTAGCTTGACACCCTCTTTTTGCAAAGGTCCCCTTTAAAAGACAGCTTCCACACTTGGGGGTCCAGCTGAATATCTTTCACACCCGCGTACGACAAGCTTCTGGTTTGGAGTCTGCTTTTGTGGGCCGGCTGTAACCCAAATCTTCGGTCTCACGGTTGCGCCGGCCTCCTTGAAGATAGCCTCGGACGGATTCCGGGCAAGGGTGAACGCCAATGGCACGATTCCCTCCATGCGACAGGGGATGGCAAAATGTTGTGACCATAGGTGTCCTTTTAGGGCAAATAGATGGCCCTGGTAGATGATTTAAACCACCAGGTAAACCAGGGCCATCTATTTTTCCACCAAACCAACCAAAAAGGACACCTATGGTTGTGACTCTCACCCAGGGAAGTCCTAGGTGACGTCTTGTGGAACCTCCACCTGTCGCACGTCCGCTCTCGTTTTGCAGAATTCGGCCAAGCGGCACCACACAGCACGGAGCTGCGATGCGTCAGGTCCTTGGCGCAAGTTGCTTGCCTTCAAGGGGGCAATTCGGGGGACGGTTTGTTAATGGGAAGCAGTCTGCTATCCTTGAATGGGCTTGGTTTGCTTGTTTGCTATATATAAACCTATATGATGTTTATTGTATCTTTTTAATGGGATGCAAACAACGCCGAAAAACATGTTGTGTTTTCTTATTTTGACAGGTACTCATTTATTTGGTTGCGGGCTTCAAGGGGAAGCGAGCGGTCCGGGGGCGGGCCACAAGCAAGGCACCAGAAGTCTAAAGTCTGTCCTTTGGCCTGTGGCTCTTGCGCACGCAACTGAGAAGACACCTCCCAACAAAAACCAAAACAAACGAAGCAGGCGTGTTTGGGCGTGCGTTTGGCATGATCCCACTGCGTCCCCGTTTAGGACCCTCCCATTTGCAAAGTAGGGCCCGCCATATGATCAGCTCGAAGCAAAGCATGCACTCACGTATCTCGACGTATCTGCCACTCCAACTCCGTAGTCACCCGACTAGGCACTAAAAGGGATGTTCTTTGGATCAGGTGGAAATGCCGCCCGATGCGCTGCCCAAGGCCCTCCCCGAGATGACTCATGCCGTTCTTGACCCAAGGCTGTCAATTTGGAACCCTGGCTTTGGCTGGCGCTGATGTATGATTCGTAAATCCCCTCTGATTAAAGACGCCCACCAATACTATTTCAAAGGCACCCACAAGGTTTGCCAAGAGACCCCTCTCAATGCCTTGGGGGCACCTCCCAAAACCCCTCTGATTAAAGACGTCACTCTGGCCGAAAATGAAAACATACAACAACCGAGATGCTACAGTAACAAACGGATTGCCAATACTCTTGCTAATGCTAACTCCTTTCATAGTCTCAAGGGTTGCCATTGCAGTTCTTTGTCTAAAGAAAAAGGCTAGCCAGAAACCGCAAATTTCTTGGCACCGTTTGTTTCTTCAACCAAGCTCCCATTAAGTTGGGAGCCAGCAGGGGACCGAGTCTGAGAGGCTTGGCTGTGGCGAAGTCCTCCACCAAGGGACTGGTGGTCCTCCAAGTCCTGAGCTGGTCTTGCGTGCCCTTTCGCATGCCGGCTGGGTGATTTGCTCGCACTGTCATCACTGTCCACCTTACAAGTGGTCGCAAAACCGCTGGAGTGGTGACTTCTTTCCAGAGGCCAGGGGCAATTTCTCAGGCTCATTGCGCAAGCAAGCAAGTCTGTCCTGAAGCCTTTCTTCTTCCAGCCTTTGCCAACGAAAAGCTTCACCTGCAGCTGTTCAAACGAATCAGAGGATAAAAAGGCGCATGCGATGAGCACTCAGGCGTGGAAACGACTAGTATCGAAATGAAGTGCACTTCCAGCCCACTAACCATATCGTGAAGTTCACTTGGCACCGAATTGGGATTCAAATTGCCATGCCTCCAATGCATCTGAAGCACCTTCTGGCCTGGCGTCGAGAACAGGCTCTCTCCATATATGATGTGTCATTGCGAAGCTTGAAGCCTTGTGGGTCTGTCTTTCTTTCGGGACCCCACCCTAAAAAAAAGAAAGCAACTCACTGACATGGTGGTTGTCCATGTGGTTTCCCTGTCAAAATAGACCCGTCCGTGTGGATTGATCTTTCGTTCGGTTGGACCAGCATGCAGCGACGGAACGGCCAATGCACAGGTCACACACAGCCAGCAGCCACCCAAACTCATCAGCTCTGATTGGGCCCGTTGCCGGAAATATTGTTTCTGGGTTTCTGACTGCCAACCATGCGTGCGTGTGTGTGCGTGCGTGTGCGTGCGTGCGGTGTGTGTGTGTGTATTGCAGGGAACTTGTTTTTTTGGGGGGAGATTTAAACGGGAACCAACAGGAAGACAACAATTTTGGGGGTTTCCCTAATTAGCTATTTCAAGACACGGCCATATTCATCCCCAGGTGCTTCGCACGAACTTGGCCAGGCCGGCGCGTGGAGCGAAAGTCGGCAGCCTTGCTCGCTGGGTTGGAGACGGAGTTGCACCTGGCGGCTCCCTCGCGTCAAACACCGGGTGCTCTGTTGGGCCCCCTTTTGGCTTCCCTTTGAATGAATATGGGCTTTTTAGCGCTCATAGGGACCTCGCCCCCAAATTGGTCAACGGCATCCACCTGAACATTCGCCCCCAAAACAGCGCAGTGGTTTCATCTGGGTCAAGGCAATGTACATAAGGATGAACCGTTGAGTTTGCCACTCAGACTCATGTCCCAGTGCGAGGTTCAGAACTTTCGACCTCCCCCAAACTCCCATTTGCTTAAGCCCCCTAGAAAAATACTTCCAGTGATCGATTCCATTTAAAACCAACACATGGAAAATAATAATAAAAAATATTCTTCAGCAAATGGACGCAAACCTATATTGGCTGTTGGTCAAAAGCCCGCACCCCCGCTAACAACATCCCAACTAAACTAGGTTCTAAAATAGGTGCACCAACATTACCCCAGGGATCCCAAAACGGTTTGGACCACCACAGCCATCTGTCGCAACTTGGGAGGCTTCAAGGTGCCATTCAAATTCACGTAGCTTGCCTTTGAGAAAAAAGAGGTGCCATTCACATAGGTTTCCCTGGCTTCCCTGGTCCAGTCGGTCTGGGACCTGTCCTGTCCCAGGTGCTTCCCCCTTCCCCTCAGCCCCTCAGCCCGACCGGCTGAAAGCTGCTGAGAGCGAAGTCTGTCACGTACTCCTCCTCCAGCTGCTGCCCCAGGCGGATGAGCCAAGAGACCTCGGCGAATTTTACAAACCGAAACGGATCCAGGAGAAACAAAATCGCCAGGAGAAGAATGACAAAAAATCGCCGGCGAAATCTGCGATGCGCCCAAAGTCATGAAAAGAGACATGTTTCTCGCTTGATTTGTTGTCCGCTCAAGAGTCGCTTGGTGCCCAGGATCCAGAAGTCTGACGTCCATGTTGGTTGACTTCCATGTGTTGAAGGCCAAGCGCAACACCATGCTCAAGCGAAGTGCTGCTTGCGCCTAGGTGGCGCACCCGCCCACGTGCAGCAGTGAGGGTCGTTCTCACCGGCACGGCCTCCTGTGAGCGACCAATCATAACTGGAGGGTTCTCAATGTTGGGGACCCTCATTCCTGAGCTGTCCTCAGATCCCTGCTAATAGTTTAACTTTTGGTGGGCTAAATGGAAAACCCCACTAAACACTAAAAGCTAAGAAGCTAAGGGGATGGCTGGGAGTCAGCAAGAAATTCGCTTGGTTTCCCTTTTGCCTCCCTTCAACTTGCTGGTGCTCAGCAGGGAATGAGGGAATGACCCTACAAACCAGCCCTTGTGGGTTAATGCCCAGGTTCATTCCCTCATTCCCTACTGAGCACCAGCAAGTCAAATACCAACCAAGAGGCGAGGGGTCCGAGATCTATCTTGAGAACCGCTTGGATTGGTTCGAGCCGGGTTCTTGCTGGTTCTTCTTGGCAGGCTGGAACCCGTTGAAAGTAGAACGTATTTAGGGTCCGCTGAGCAAACTTTTACAAGACTGGGCCACAACCCGAAAGCGCGCACTTGCAAATGCGAAGTCACTACGGAACCATCTCTCTGCTTTGGGGGTCTAGGGGTTTGTGGGGGTAATCTTTGAATGAATATGGGTACCTCAAAATGGGTCGATCTCCTTTGGACCTGGCTTTCAGCACTGTTCAAAATTTAATTGTCATTCTTTGGACCCCACTTTTGCTTTTTGTTGTTAACATAGGTTGGCCACGCAAAAACATGCGGTTGTCCTAATTGGATTGATCTTAACATTATTTAACCTGAAAGGGGTACCCTCAAAAGATTTTCTCACAAACCGCAGCCCATGAGAAACTGGCGATACCACGCAAAATCCGATAGTTGCGACTCAGCGACTAACAAAAAGATGTCCGTACTGTTGACCTCATATCAGTTTATGAATGTGGGGTGCAAAACTGGTCTGATTCGCCACATTTCACCCAGAAATGGCCCCCCATGTATGAATCTGAACATAAAGTGACTGATAGAAGCAACACAAAAATGGGGTCGACATCATGTCAGACATCTCGAGCTTGCGCTCCGATTGGAGCCCCTCCTTGCCGTGGGAAGGGCTCTCCAGCTCATCGTCTTGGTCATCCTGGTCATCTTGAAGGTCATCCTGGTGCCGCGCCAAGCTCCCGACCCACGAAAAGTAAAGCGCTGGAAGCCCCAGCCTACCCAAAAACATATTTCAGACACCACGAAACAACCGCATTTTTTGGGAGACGTTTATGGGGACAAACGAAGTTGAGTCAAGTATCCTAAACACTCCACCGCCAAGGAGCGCAAAGGTCCAGCCCAGCATTTCTCAGACTGAAGCCCGATATCAAGGAAGTCTTCCCACAATCTAGTGCAAAATCACAAGTCCCTTTCATGCGTTCATAAGGTGGCAGTTGCTTCATTTGCCCGGAGCAAAGAGCTCTTTGTTTGCGGCTGCAGCCAAAAAAAGTCCACACATGGCTTTGCCCCGCAGCGCCCTCAACAATTTACGTATGCCGAACAGCGCTGGCTGCACTCGCTTTTCCACGCAGTTCGGTCTTATTTTACTGTGGTGTAAGGCAGCGAGAAGCCCTTCCGAACTCAGTTGTGTCCAGCATTTTGTTTGTCCCACTGCGCTGCGTTGCAGTTGCTCTTGGCCGTCTTGGCAGTTTGCAACGCGGGGCAAAGTATCATATCAAGACTTGAATGCGTCATGAAACCGGCATTTGAAACGTGCATTTAGATGCGCTTGGCAGCCGCAACGTGCATAAAGGAAGAACATGTGAACAACATGAACAAGAGCAGTATGACGTTGACGCCTAGAAACTATGCAGTGGGAGGCGAGAGGACAGGGCCTGGGGCACCAGCGGTCGTGGTAGCGAGTCATGTCTTGAGCCATTTAGCCTGACTCCTAAAAAAATGCCACGGGTCACAAAAACATTCTGCTTGTCGCACTTTGCGCGGTTGTCCCCCAATGTTTCGCCCAAACCCAAAATGAAACGGCCAGATCATTATGTCACCTGATGTCTCATTCCCCGTCTTCCCGAAAATGCGCGAGAAAGATACGCGACCACTTCCCACCTGCACATCGTGGTCTGCTGGCTCATCGGTGGGCTCCTCAGTGCTCTCCTTTATCTGCGCTTCCTCGGCAAGACCCCCCACTTGGCTACGCCATCGTTTCCGCACCCGGAAAGCATGCTTTGATTGCCGATGCGGAGGAATCATCCTCTTCCCCTCTGGGGCCCGCCCCCACCTTAGGACTTCCTTGGTCTCGGGCCTCCATGGACTTGTCTTCCATCCTCAGCTCATTCCACCAAAACCGGGCGGGAGGGGGGTTAGGGGTGTGAGGTTGTTTGCCTGCTTTCGGGAAACCAGAAAGGAGCACCCACATGAGTCAACACCTGCGGAATAAGGCAGAACTACCCACCACCGGACTCAACTGGTGACTCAACGATGGGAATCGACGAAGTCGCGCTGAAACCGTGAAGCACATTGAGGATATCCTTTACTTCCGCGCCCCGGGGGCCCTGTCCTCGGCTTCGCTTCCACGCCCGACTGCATGGTCTCACTGCGCAAGCTCGATGCCTGAGATGCGAGTCCGAGGTCGGAATCGCAAGCCAAGGCAAAGTGTCAACCCCAGAATCTCAGAATGACGCGCCAAAGCACCGATCGCGAAATCCTGGGGGTCCCCAAAAATTGCCAGGATGACATTTCGGTCGTAGCGGAAAGCAAAACCACAGCCAAGGTCCTGGCACAGTCGGCTGTCCGCTGGGCCGGCTTGCTTTCCTACGTCACGAGATTCCACCAAGTTGGGGAGGCATTCCATGGATGGGGGACAGGGCTCGGACTTGTTTTGCCAACAAGCCTCGTTCTGCCATGCATTTCTGCTGATTTAACTCCTAACCCCCCCCCCCACCCCCCCCCCCCAAAAAAAAAAAAAACCTGAGAAGTGCGCGGTATAGCTGTGAAACGTCCGCACCAGGGATTCTACAACTTCTGGTCTTTACTGTGCTCAAGGTGTGATGTGAGGAGCTTCCAAAACAGCTGGTGCATTCTGTTCACTCTCCCAGACACAATGGGCGCGCGCATGCACGAGTCCTGGGATGTGTGTGTGTGTGTGCTCGTTTACTTTCTGAGGGTACCATTTCCAGGACTTCCGGAAGGGACATAAACAAAAATAGCACTCAATTCGGGCATCGCAAGTAGCCAGTAATCAATAAGAGCATCTCGAAGTAAAGCACCTTCCTCACGATCTAATTTGATCCCCGGCTCAGGCGCCAGCCCAGTTGTCAGCTCCCCCGTCCACTTTGGCACGTTGCTGGTCCTAAGCGAGCCCGAAGTGATTTTGAGAACCTCTTACAAAATGTCTACTTTCAGGGACCCAGGGACGCAAAAAAGCAAGGCGCTCTTTGACCTTGTCACCCCTGCAAAGGGGAATGCATAACCCAATGCCAGTTTCTTGTGGTTTGGCCATTAGGTCCGGAGCAAGCCTGTTCCATCTCAAGCAACCACGCCCTAGATTGTTGTTTAATGAGAGTCGAGTTGTTATATACACCTTTTCCGCGATCTGCACATGATGACATGCGCATTTGTCAAAACATGCAAAGTTGGTGGCTACATCAAATAATTCACTTGCACTAACATGACGTGACACGCGATGAAGACTAATCTGAAGGGTCTTAGAATTGCTGCCGGCACCAGGCGTCGGACAATGGCTGTTCTGAAGTCCGCCATGCCATGGCGTGCCTTGTGGCCTCGCATGGATCAGGGCTGGGGTGACGCTCCAGTCGCTCGGGGTGGCCTGCCGGGCTCACACCCACCGGCGTGCTTGCGGCGGCATCGGCAGTCCTGCCGAGTGAGCAAGGGCACAAAGCAAGCCAGCATGGCTGACTCACAACCAACCAGGCTGGCTCAGCAAAGCTGACCAGCAAAAAGCGAATACCAAATCCACATTGATTTTTTTGCAGCTGCACCGCATGCTTGCTAGAACTGCAAGGCCATTGCAGCGAATGGGCGGGAAATCAGCTCAAACCAAGTTGCATCATGTGGACACAGTGCTAAGGACCTTGTTCTATCTGGGGTGCCTTTTTTCGAGGCTAGCCCTTTTCTTTGGCTTTAAATTTGCAGTCAAGGCAAAACATCCTGAAAATGGTGACAAAAGCGGAAACTACCCATTTCGGGAGGGTTCTCAAAACCACCTTCCTTGTAACAAAGTTTGCCATCCCATTGCCTAGCTCACTGAAGAGGGAAATTCCCTTATTGCAGAAAGTGGCATTGATACCCTTTAATTCTGAATTCTTCTTGTTGCAACCGTGGATTCACGTCCAAAAAGCAAAAGCCCCAGTTGAATGCTACAAGAGTTCGATTCGTCGCTGAACTCCATGCCCCGCCCACGCCCCAAAAAATCGCCGGCGACGGACACGGCCCCCGTCTTTACCGAAGGAGTGCTCTCGAAGGTCTCGCCGTCTCCGTCGACTGTGGCTCTGCGCCGGTTGATGGCCGCCAGGAAGTCGCCCCCTGCAGGGGGAGGGGGGTGAAGTGAAAGTCCCCAATTCCAGTCTTCCCCTGGAAATGGAGCCAGAAATGGAGATCTCCAGGGGTCACCCCCCTGGAAAGGGGGTGGGGATTGGGCAACTTCACTGGGCGGGCCGTTTTCAGATCTGCGATTAGAGGAAAAACTGTAAACATGGGGGAACCCGGCCTGTGGGCTCCTTGGAAATTTGGGGCAGGCTAAACGCCATGCCTTGACGCTGTTACTATGGAAGACGACAATCAGAAGGTGCAAGGGCTGGCAAAAGCCACGCCGCGCATCGTGTTTTTTTCGCATTTGGGTGGCGGTCGCTGAGAATCTCAGACCTACCACATCCTACCACGCCGGCACACAGGACTTGGTCGCACAAGTCTGTTGCAGACCAAGGCAAACAACTGAGGCCCCAAGTCTTTGAGAGTCTCGAGGAAACAAATGAGAAACATAGCCACATTGGCCGAACCAGGACAGGGTAAAAGGGATATAGGCTTTTTTTTGCCAAAAGGCAGGAACTCATGGGACCATCCTTTTCTAGATCTACAATAGTCTTCCAGATGTGAAAGCTTCAATGCCAGGTCTTCTCGGTGCCTCCTGAGTGGTTGACAGCTGGCGGCGCGGCATCTCGGCAGGTCATGCCAAGCCGTCATGCAGGGGCTTGGTGTGTGCCAGGCCCTGTTTGCGACTCCCTCTGCGAAGACCTGCTTGCGCAATGCTACGGGGAGAGAACCCCCAATGTGAAAAGGGGAGCACAGGGAACCCCAGTAGCTGCAGCAGCACCTACGCTGGTGCCGCCATCCAGGCTCCGCGCAAGTTCGATATGGCGATGCCGGCGCGTGGGTGACAGTGACACCCTGCGACCAATCCGCTCGCTGGCGAATGCCCAATCACCCCACAGGTTCAACCCATAATCATTGTTTATGTGCTGAGTTGTTCAAAATTAAGGCTCCGCGGTCCCGTTGGAAAAATATTTGGCTCTACCAAAATGGCTATAGGGTTGCATATTGTACACCGATCTTGCCATGAACCGCCTTGCCCCAAGTGGTCGATCAACAACTCTGGGCAAACAGCTCTCTAACCTGAAATCAAGAATCCCAAAGCAACAAACCTTCATGGGTAATCTCGCTCGTTTTACTCAATCGGCCAATCGGCGAGCTCGTGATTTTGTTGTCCAAACCATTGGCCAACAGAGATTCTTGGCGCTTGCAGGGTCCCTGGAATACACTGGGGCCGGTTACCAACACCGACTTTAGTTGATTCAAAGGATCTCCTTGCAAAGCTGGTTGTGGATGTATCCCGTACGAACCCTAAGCTTCCATTTGCTGGAGTCCCTTGAAAAAAAGAGATACTTCCATTCGTGATAGATTCCCTTGAAAACCAACAGGATTTTTTGTTTTTAAGAAAACAAAATCTCAAGCACATGGAAGCAAGCTAAGTGCTCAGACTGGAAAACAACAGGCCTGCGGGTGCGCGGCGGGCTCGCTCTCAAACTTCAAACCGCTCTCCTGGCTGAGAACAAATCGGGAGCCCCGTCAAGGCCTGGGGCTATCCGCTCGCCAGATTAAAATGGAACCCCAAAGGGGTGTGTCCCATAGGTGTCCTTTTAGGGCAAATAGATGGCCCTGGTAGATGATTTAAACCACCAGGTAAACCAGGGCCATCTATTTTTCGCCAAACCAACCAAAAAGGACACCTATGGTGTGTCCCCTAACCCCAAGAGCAGTTTTCTCTAATCATGGGTGTTCGGGTTCCCGCCGAATTTCTTCGTGCTTGGCAAGCAGCACATTCCAAAGGTTGATCTCCGCAGGGTGTTCTTCTCGAAGAAGTTACGGCAAAAAAAAAGAGAGCGATGACGCCCCTACAGTTCAGAATGGAACCCAACACCACGGCATTTTGAAAGGCATCTCCTTTTAGGGGACCCCTTTTTTGGGTTCCATGATTATTTGCAGGGGAGTAGAGCCACATTGGAACCAAGGCCATCTATTTGCAACCAAACTGACCAAGGACTATTGACTGGTGGTTGACCCCATGTCCCAGGCAATCTGTTCACCCATCGTTTCTCGTCACTGGAAAACAACCGCCAATCATTGGGGCTTGCCGCAAGCCTGGCGCCCTGCAGGCAGGTCCCGCTTGACGCGAGCTCTCTGTTCAAAATGGGGGGGGGCCTAATCCCAACCCGTAGTGGGCCACTAGACCAGAAACCGCTGCCACCTGGCCAACACATTCACTGTTGGTATTCCCATGTGGGTGTGTCAACCTGCCGATGTTTCTCTTGGTTTCCCTTTAAATCCACAAACAAAAGGGGGTGCCCTTAAAAACAGACGAGCCACCCATGTTTTTTATTCACTGACATCTTGGCATATCCGAAACTCCGCCAACAACACGAAAGGAGACGTGATCGGCACGTCGCCCATCCATGGCACTAGGCCTCCACCACGGAGCGGCGCTTGTTCAGCTTGGCTTGCAGCTCGTTCATGGCCTAAGCCCAAGTGCCCAAGGAACTCTCCAACGGACAAATGAGGAAAAAATCGGCGCGCCTCTGCGGCGGGGGGGGGGGGGAAGGGGTGCGCGGCAAAGAAAGACAGTGTAAGCCCAGATTCGCTGTGGCTTGTTGTCTGAAAGAGTGTAAGTCGGGCAAACTCGTCTAGCACAGCCAAAGGCAAGGTCGCTTCGAAGAGAAAGCAGAAAGAAAGTCAGGGTTCCGATTCACTAAACCACCTTTGTGGGTGTGACGCCGGCATAGTTTAGTCCTGCATCTTCCTTCAAAAAAAAACTTCCGAAGGCTCAAACGAGCCGTCTAGGAACCTTCTGAGCGGGGGTCCACTGAAAGCATACACACTGCCCACCAAAAATTAGAGTCGTGACGCTGCCATCTTTGGGAGTTTATTTAAAGAGCAACCCTATCATGGAAACCATTTGGGATTTAGGGCATTCTCCACTCCACAGGGCTGGGTCATGCTGGGTCTGGTGCTCGGCCCGAAGCGCCAGTCTTTGTGGGCGCGGTCGAAGCTGTGACACGTTGCTCAGTGCTTCGCGTTGCCGTGACTCCAAAGAGGGGGCAGTACCAAATCACTGCGCGAAACGGCCGAATCTGGCACCTCACCATATGCATTTGTTCTGTCGAATTTATGGCTGGCGCTTGATCTGCGTCCACATCTTGAGCCAAGACGCCTTCGTCAAGGCTCAGAAGAGTACACAGCTTCAAGCTTCGGCTGCCCGTCTCACCCTGCGCTCGCACGCGCCATCAGCTGAAGTATGTATGCGTGCAGAGCTGGATGTATGCAAGCAAATTGGCAAAGTGTCCAGCATATTTTTCTCACATCCTTGCCAGCGCTGAAGATGCACCCCACCACCAGGAGGCCACTCAAGCAAACCACTGTGACGAGCAAGCCTTGCTTGAAGCTCTGAGCCTTGTTGAAATACCAGGTGGGACAAATATGGCCAAACGCCAAGCCAAATTCAGGGGTCACTGAGCATTGCGGGGTCACAGCGCTGGAAGTTCCGCCCATCCCTGGGCTCCTGCGCATTCAAGGCACGGACCAAGCTCCATAGCGACATCTGGAATGGCGAGCATGGCGGTTTTCTTTCAACCACAATGGAATGCAACCACAGGCTGAGTAGCCGGAATACAAACCAGCGGAACCGGTTGGCAGGCACTCTTTCACCACTGTAGATGGAATACAGGTGGGGCATCATACACAAACCAGGGAGAAAGTGAAACCAGCGAACTAAGGGTTGAACTCCCGCCATGAGCGGGTAAACTGGGAGCGAATTTGGGTGCTGGAGAAATGTCAAATCCTTTGGAAAAGCTCGAAATATGAGCGATTGCCTACCTATACCTCCTACACGGCCAATTTGCCCCAGGAATCTAGTCTGAGAGGTGCAGAATGGCCATGTTGCCCTGGGCATTGCATGCATGTTGGCCATCTCAAGCTAAGCCACATAACCTGTCCAAAACTTTCTCCTGCAAGGCTTCAGCCCGATGTCGCCGCCTACAATCGACTCAGAACGCTGGCCTCTTGCACGACTGTGCAGTAAACATGGACATGTGTCGTGCTTTCCGCTTGTGCGCCGGGGTTGTCGGCAGGTGTGCAGAAGTGCTGTGGTGGACGACGCGGTCATGTCGAGAACACGAAGGGAGTGCACTGCCAAGAACATGGCAGCACATGCGAGGTGCTTGATTTCTACAAGTTTCAGGAACTTCAGCACGGCACAACGCGCCCTGTATTGCTTCCAGCCAAATTGTAAGCAAGCTGTACACTGCGCGGCCGAGATGATGGAAGAGTTTTCCCACCATCGGCTCTCGTGGGAACGCCCGGCGTCTGACACCAAGGCAAGGCAGCAGCCGAGAACAGGAAAGCCGGAAAGACCCACAATTTCGGCAAGGGCATCTGGGTTGCAGGTCCTACAATTTCCAAGCGGGCCCAAGCTCCATCTGATAACACCCCTGGCCTGCGTGGCTTCAGTTTCATACCTTCACTTTCTCGTGGTGTGATTCTTCTGCAAAAGCCAATGCGGCAATAAGCAAAAATCAGCAACGTCTTGTTGTCCCGTGCTTTTGGCTGAAGAAGGGATAACAAAGCCGAAACCGCTGTCACCAAACGGAGGTGCCGAAAACGAATCCTCCGCTTGCTGGCCCCCTGGCACGCAGAGCGCTCGAACTCTGTACAAGATGCAGAGAGCTTGAGAGAAAAGGGCTCCATGCTAGTAGGGAATGCACACATACAAATCACAAATCGAAGCTCTCCACCAGCTCTACCGTCGCCGCATCTGCGTCGCCGCATCTGCGAGGCGCCCCAATTTTTACGCCCAGGATGGAGAACGGCTCCTCTACATTGATCTGCATCAGCTGCCGGGTGCCTGGAGGTGTGCATGGCTGAAGTCCGCTCTAGTCCTAGGGTTACCAGGCCTACGGTCGAATCGGATGGAATCTCGTCTTCTCGCTTGGATCTAAACAAATGGATTTAACAAAAAGTCCATCCAGATTTCTTCGAATGGCCCCGTTGCATGACTTTCCGATACAAGCCGCCCGCCCTTTGGAGCGCCAAGTCAAATCAGTCCCCAAACTCATTGGGGAGGTATGAGAAAATGCAAAACAACTGCAGTCCCCCAAGTCTTCCAAACTTCAGTTGGGTAAAACCAGCATGAAACCATGTTAAAATCAAGCAGATTGAGCCGTTGAACTTTTGAGTTGGCTCCAACTCTTAAAATGGCAGCCAGTTAGGTCCCCACGACGTCCCCACGATGCTTGAGATTCAGACCCATTTTCATCCATTTTCCCAAACCTGTGAGCCACATTTTGCCATTCCAGCCGTCCTCTGTGTCATCCTTGGGGAAGAGCTGGCCCTCCTTCGCCAGGCATAGCACGTGGCCCGGAACCTCCTCGATGGTGCTGCGGAGGCTCACGGCTGTCTGCCCGGTCTTGGGATTCACGCCTTCCTCAGAGCTCCAAACGCAAAAGCCGTGGCGAGGTCAGATCTGGCAATCTTGGGAAATCTTGCCACAGAAGCAACTCTCGTGTGTTGTAGTTTTCGTTGTTTTTTCTCAAGCATGGTTGCATGCGTTGTTCTTCAGAGGCCTGCTTTTTTGAAGTTCTAGACTTGGTTCGTTTCCAGTTGGCATCGCAAAGGGGTCCCAAGTTGGGATTCCCCCCCCCCCCGAAAAGCGCCATTCGGACCTGATGCAATTCTAACATTCTGAGATGGATTCCACTAAATTCCCCCCAAGCCACTACCCAAGGGGTCAATGGGATATACCAATACAGCCACTTAGCCACTGTATATTGTATACTCGGTAAATACCCCAAATGAACATCATCCATCACAACTTAGAACGAGTTTTTGTTTAATTTTTTATAGTTGCCACTTTGAGGTGATGTTGGCTTTGAAGGGCTGCCACACTGAGTCGCAGTGTCACACGTGTGGCTTGAATTGGCATTATCCGGGAAGTTAGCAAACCTTTCTCAGGGTGAGGCAAACATGCGCAAGTGCAAGCTGCCCCACATGCCATCTTAGCATCTTAGCATGCATGAACAACATCGAACAGCACCTACTTGGCCCCCTTCTCCCAACATCATTGATCGCGCCTGCCTTGTGAACACCAGCCCCTGCCGTATCTTGCCCGACCAAATATAGTGCCGCTGAGGATTTCTCCGACTCTAAGCTTCCGACATGCAAACGTCGCACCTTTGCGAAGAAGGAGCCATAGGCCTGGCGTCACATGGCTGTGGCTCAAAACCCTGTACCCCTGGTGAACATTAAAATAGGTGGTACGTGGGTGTTCATCCGCCCCAAAATGGAGGCATAGGTTTTGACCCATGGCCACATGCCAAAAGGCTCAGCATGGAGCCGGGGTGGAAGACCGGAAGACTGCCGAAGACCGGAAGACTGCCGTCGACCGTGATACCTACATGGGCTTCTTTTGCGCATCCCATTGGGCCACTGCCGGGTCTTGAGTTCTGCGAGCTCTGCGCTGCATGGGGCCGATTGGCCACGTACGAGAAGCCCAGGGCAAAATACCACAAAAAAGAAAAACGCCCCAAGCCCCACCCTCGCTGAACTTCAAAGCAACCTCAAAAACCCGCCCAGCAATTAAGCCTGTCCAAAACCTGCTGACCAACTGGCCAAACCAACAAACCAAGATCCAACCACATCAAACCAAATCAACCACGAAGGCCCGTGCCAGCAGGCCAATCATGCACATTCCCAACCTTCGTGCCAGAACAGAATGGTTGCGCATCTGTGACACGGCAAGTTCGTGGGGCATGTCGTGAAACAAAGTACGCTACCGCTTCTCTGTACCAATGCCAGTAGGCGCAGGCCATTTGGACCCAGCCCGTGCTCTGGGATCTGATTCATAGTTAAAGGTAAGTTGCCTTCCTTCGGTCCTTCAGTCACGTCTATGGGCCAGGTTCATGGTCAGCCCTGGAAAAGGAAGTTGCAAACCTTGCATGTCATGAAAACCTTGGTTGCTGTTGACCCCCCTGCAGAAAGTTTAAGTTTGTTGGGTTTTAGTGGAAACCCCCCTTTATTTCCCAAAAAGTTAGAGTCTAAAGATCCAACCCATGGGCATTTTGCCCTCTTGGGGAACAAAAAGAAAACCGGCTTTGTTTAAGCCACCTTTTCCGGGTGTGGGGCACGAAGCCCATGAGCCCTGCCTGGTGCGGCTGCAGAGGCAGCAGCTGGTTCTCCGCCAGCCAGCGGAGCTTCTCATCAGTGCCGAGTCCTAAAGTTGGATCGAGCGCGCGGCGCTTGGCGCTCGGCGCTGACATTGGGTTGGTTCAAAGGGAACCCAAAAGGAAACTCACATTTTTGGTGGAAGGCTCCCCTGAAAACGACACACATGACACATGTATTCCGAATTCTGAGGCGTGAAAGAAGAAAACTCGAGCCACACCCAGGACTTGCAAGAGCAGAAAGGTGGCACGTTCATGATCATGTAGCATCATGCAACTAGTTGTCTTCTCCCTGCGATGCCACCAACCCCAAAAACGGACACTTTTCGGCACAGTCTTGAAAATAGAGCCCCCACATCTCCGACTTCATTCTCTGAGTGCATTCATAAACGCAGCTAGCCTAGCTCTTGTACTAGCGTTGTCTCAAGTCTGGCTAATTGTCTGATCTCCAGATCGGGCCACTGAAAATGGGGGATCCAGAAACCCCGTCGGGAAGCCACAGCAAAGGGACAAACCAACCGAGGCCAAAAACAAAACCATTTCTTCTCCAAGAAACCTTCTTTGAGGGCAAGCTGCATGTAATTCGACTGCAGTCGAGACGCCGACCACCTTCTTGGCCCCGGGGATCTTGGATTTGTAGACCGCGTCGGACACGCCGTTCACCCCGCAGTCCGCTGCCCGCCAAAGAACCAGAGCCATAGCCTCACCCGAGAGCGCCACTTTCGAGGAGATGAGGCGTGTACAACTTGTGTTTTGTGGGGTGTGTTTTTTGAGGGTACCCTTTTCGAAGGTGGCTCTCAAGGGCGACCATGAGGAAAACCCACCATTTTGAGGCTTCCCGAAACAAAACACCTTTGTGGTGGTTGCCTATAGGGGCGGGGGAACAGTGGAAACTGTCCTGGAAAACAAACAAGCTAGTTACGAGTCTGTCGGAGGCTTCCGAATCGACGCTCACGGTGACGACGTCGGGGTGCCAAGCGCGCGGTCAAGCGACTTCCTCGAAGCTGGCGAAGCTGCCGATGCGGCAGTCGAAACTCGCCAGAAGGGACTCATCGATGCTCAGGCCCTTGGACGCGAACCTGAGATCAAAGTTGACAGGACTGAAACAAGGATCATTTCACAGAGCGGTTTGTCCGAAACCTTGGAAAACAAGTGCCAAATGAAATCGCGCAATCAAGCAACAGGAACAATTTGTGAGAACTGAAAAAGCTGGTATGGTTGAAAGCATAAGTGGCTGACAGCTAAGCGGGAGGGCGGCAACAGCCGCATACAATCACGGCACTGGGCAAGAAGAGTTTACAAATCGGCAATTCAGAGGCCCCCTTCAAATGTTGCATGAGGTTCACATGAAATTGCAACTTTTGGCGGTAAAAAGGAGACTGAGGACCTCTGTGGTTCCTCAGTCTCAGCAAACCGTTGCCAGGCGGCAGGGCTTGCAAGCGGAAGTTGAACAGCGCTGTCACGTGAGAAGCTGCCAAGGTGCCTTGGACGGCTCAAATGCACGTGTGTGCAAGCGCTCAGGAATCCAACCAAAACATCGATGGAACAAGAGAGAAACCACCGAACTGAGACCAAGTGAGTTTGCTGGTTGCTTGTATGTTGAGCGGGTCCCGAACTCACCAAACAAGCAACGGATAGAACAAATCATCTGACGAACTAAACCCCGGGTGTCAAGTAGAGCTTCTTTTGATGTCCACTTGGCCAAGTTACAACACTGGTTGCTATTGACCACGCCCAAGAACCAAGTCCCTCTTTTTGGGCGATTCCATTTTGAGCGGGGGAGTGCGGCTTTCCTTTCGGTGCCCATCTAAACCAGGCTTCAACACGCCTCCAAAAAACACGCAACCACACGATCACACACACACAGCCCCACACACACACACACACACACACACACACACACACACACACACACACACACACACACACACACACACACACACACACACACACACACACACACACACACACACACACACACACACACACACACACACACACACACACGCACACGCACACGCACACGCACACGCACACGCACACGCACACGCACACGCACACGCACACGCACACGCACACGCACGCACACGCACACGCACACGCACACGCACACGCGCACACGCGCACACGCGCACACGCGCACACGCGCACACGCGCACACGCGCACACACGCACACACGCACACACGCACACGCACACACGCACACACGCACACACGCACACACGCACACACGCACACACGCACACACGCACACACGCACACACGCAAATGCACTCACACACCCATACGCACCTTGGCCACAGCAACAAATCACCCAAACTCCAGGATGTATAAACACCTTGTTGATTCACAAGTCCCATTTACTCGGTTGCTTTCTGCTACCCTGCTAAAAGTTTAACTTTTAGTGGTTTGATGGAAAACCCATTAGTTGGCAAAAAGTTACAGTCCTAACATCCAAGCAAAATGCACCAAAGTTTATACAAAATGGAATCCAGAGCACTCTTCTAGAGATCTCTTAGAGCACTCTTTTGGGGGCACAGCCCAACATCTACAGGTTGATGAATCCAGGGTGCGCATTTCTAAACTACGCTTCTACTCTTCTTATCAACAAGCTGCACTTCTATATTCTACAGGTCCTTTTGGAGGAGTCACGGGACCAACCATAGGACCAACCATAGGAGCCGAGGCGCAGATCTTCACCACCCGCCCGCCATGGGAGTGGCACTGCTGCTCCCCCCGCACCACGCTCGCGGGGGCGAGGACCAAGGTCATCTCGTCGGACTGGGTGTAGCCACCTCTGGATGTGGCGGCCAAAAGGGTTATCCACATGCCAGTTCCAAAAGTTCAAAAGGCACCACGTACCAACAAAGCCCTGCTCAAGGATATGGCTTGAAGAAAAACATCAACTTAGGTGGCAAGTACAACTCACAAGCGATAATGGGTAAACTTGCCTTGCGTTTGATATATGTGTGCGCATCTTCGACGCTTGCCAAAGCCCTGCAGCTTAGCAGCACATGGCGCTGAACTTCACCATGAGGGATTGGCAGCATTCTCTCATGAGCTCGGCGAACTCCGTGGAGTAGCCGTCGGAAAACGCACCTCAGGTGGGCACCTAAGCCTTTGCATGGTACCCCTGTGCGTTGGGCGCATGCAGGGATGGCCATACCCCCCACTGCTTCACAAGGGTCACGAGGAGGGAATTCACTCACATTGGTCAAAGGCTGCGGGAAGACGCACCACAGCAAATTGGCAGCGAGCGCAATCAAGTAGCGCATACCACTTGCATTGTGTCATTTCAAAGTTGTGACATTTCAAAGTGATGAGTTTGAACTGTCTCAGAACAGCTGCTTCCCGTATCGCCAGTAAAAAAGCGCAGCCCCTTAGTAAATTAGGTTGTGTCAATACATTAACTCCTTATTTTCACGAAGACCCTGAGGGTACCATTTCCGGAGCTTATTTAGACTGCCAAAAGGAAGGCACTCCTTTCCAGGATTCCCGATTCTTAACCGGACTTAGACCTCGGCACAAAGTTTAACTTTTGCTCCCGGATGACTATTGGTTCATTACGTGGCCGGCGGGTCCGAGTGGTCCCGAGAATCCGCCTGCAATGCCCCAATCGTTTGTCACTCAACGACGGAGACCGTTTCCACCGAGGAAACGTGTAGAATGGACATAGGCTTAGAAATGTGTGGCCTAGTACCCAATACTTCGATGTAGCTGAGGAACAATGGCGTTAACCTCTCTCTAGTTGAAAGGAAAAATCATGGAACCCCCAAAAAAACTCCAAAACACCCATGTTCACCGCCCAACCCAGCAGCCCAGTTTCCCCGCCTGCAGCAGTGAGGCGCTTCGTCAGCTTGGAGAAGCCGCTGCCATCCAGGCGCAGTGTGAGGTACCTGCTCAGAGGTGTCCTTTTGGAAAAATAGATGGCCCTGGAATATGGAATCAAACCCATCTAAACCAGTGCCTCTTTTTTTAACCACACTAACCTAAAAAGGACACCAACGTACCTGCTTCGTCGCCCTCCTCCCCCGGCGCCCTCCCCCCCCCCCCCGCCCTTGTTCAACGGAAAAGCAAAAAATATACGTTTGAGGATGCAACATTTCCATGGACCCGACGTCAACAAAAAGGGCGCCCTCCCTTAAAACATATATAAAAAAATGGTCCCTTACCCGGCAAAATTATGTCCAGGCGCCTCTGTGGAGGATGCATGTTTTTTGGGAGGGGAATTGTGAGGATGCCGCCTTGATGGACCCAGTGCAGCAAAAGGAACGTCCGAAATGATAGGTTTCCTTTGAAACAACGCCAAGAATTCCATTGGGTGAACGTACATGGGACAAATCCATCTCTTGGTCTTGTCATCCCCTTTACTTGCCTAAAGGGAGTTGGGCATCTATTTTCACATAAATGTGCCCCAATTCCAGTTCTTCCAGTGGGGGGCCAAGGGAATCTCTGGTGTCCTTTCCTGCTTGGGCCCAAGACCAAAAACCACAATGATAGCATTGCTTCTACAACAGTCCATACGATCAACGCGGGGAATGACCAAGGCATCTGCCCGATGGACCAAATTGCATTGGCTTCCCTACAAAGAAATGAAGTATCCAGCTACCAAGGAGTGAATTGTGAACACCTGCCAACCTGAAGTAACGGACGGCAGCTTGGCACCCCGCTTCAGAACTTCAGGCCGCGATAGCCATCTAGTGTGCCACAAGGGAAAATGGAACTGACATGAGGGTTTCACCCTCAACAACTCAACAGCCCGGGGACACCGAATCCAGCTATCCAGGTCTTCCCAAGGAGGAAAAATCAAACCGACAAAAGGGATTTCACTCCACTCCCCAAACTCCACCATCAAGTCGTTTTACTGGGGAGATGGAATCGACACAGAATTCCCCACCCCCCAATTGAAGACCCTCATGCCACCTATCGCCCGGCACGAAGGTGGTGGTGGGGCTCTCCCACACCCGCAGGAGGTCCCCAAGCTGGGACCAGGTGGCCTGAAACTCAATGGGCTGACCAGTCATGCCACTTCCGACCAAAGGCCCAGAAGGTTGCTGGAAGAAAATCCTCTTGAAGCGCCTGGTTGAAAAGGGGAGTGCAGTTGGGTAGTTGGGTGAAAGTTGGCGCAATTCGTTCACTTCGAGTTCATCCCCTTTATTCCCGTGCCATCTGCTTTCGTGGTGCGACGTCTGACCTTCAGAAGCACCCAAAAGCCCTGAACTAAATGCAGAACCGGCAGGCTGTCGCAAACAAATATCTGGGCCTGCTACTTAAGGCCAGTGCCAAAAAGCAACAGGCATGGCATGCCTGCATGACGAGGGCAGCGTACATAGGTTGGGCCCGCTGCATTGTTCATTTCCCATACGTTACCGGTCTGTCTTGCTTCCAGCAAAAAACTGGATAGATTCTGATAGATTCACATTACCCGTAAGGCAACCATGGCATGCCGGATAAGCTAAATCATGGCATGGGTCACTCAATCTGATGCGGTTGGGTGAGAAACGTGCTTGTCGACAGCCGCAAGGGCTACAGGGCATTCCAACATCCACCAAAACATCCGAGTTTGAGATACAAGCTGTGGCTCAGCTGAATGCTGATGCAGCAAAAACAAATTGCCGTCACGCCGGGGCTTTGGCCGACCCTGATGTCGGAGCGGCAGTTTGGGCAGCTCTGCCAATTGACGTCAAAACGGGTTCCTTTGGGTTCCCTTTGCCAAGGCCAAGAGGAAAATTGAGGTGAGTGGATTTGCCTGCTTTGAGGGAAGCCCTCTCGTAAGCGGCTGGTTGTCCTGTCATGTTCCTTTAACGCTGTTCAAGCAACCCTGAAAAGGGTGCCATAGAAAGATGACGCGCCCATGTATCTCACATGAGGGGTCACGTGGCTGACTTGCTTTCCAGTTCAACTAATCCCAGCCACTGACATGGAAAACCTGACTGGTCCTAAAAATCATGCTTCCTTTTTCCTCTCATTTGGACCCTCTGGTTCCATGGCAGGAGGATTATCCGGAGGATTGGGGCGCCTGGTTGTTTTCCCGCAAAAAAACGGCGATCCCCACCTTGGGGATGAAGGGCGGCAGCTGGTGAAGCTCCGCCGCCACCTGGATGTTTCGGGGCTGGCGCTCCCTCAGCATCTGCCACACCTGGCCGATGCACCGTCCGTTTGCATGTCGTCCAGTGTAAAAATGCCACCCGGTAGGGCCTCGGGCCTACTTGAGTGAGGCAAACACGCAAGCAGGGTGCAAGGTGAATGGGAGGATCTAAGTAGAACCCCTGTTTTGGAGGGCCCACCACTCCTCTAGGCCAGATGAATGGTTTCTGCGTTTTGCTTTCCTCGGATCTACTGACGGAACCACATCTTGCGAAAACTCGGGTTCGCATCCCTCCTGACGTAAAACACGATCCTTCAGAACTCATAACAAAGCCTGCACCAAGAGCCTCCTAAAGCCTCATTTTCCCCGCAACACCTGAAGGGGATACGGGCGGCGGGGCGCTGTGGGAGACCCCGCCTCCTTCGCGGCATCCGCCAGGCGCGGCGAAGCCGGCGCTCCGGGTTTGCCGCTTCTGCGCCTTTGCCGCAGCACGGAGGCCAGGACCAAGAGCGCGGCAACCAGCGCGAAGGCGGCCAACATGGCGCGGTTGAACCTCCCGGTTTTTCCTGGCGGGGGGAGACTTGATATGTTTCAAGTAGGCTGGCTCAAGGGACTTGGTCAACCCAAGTCTTGAAAGCCTGGATGTCGGCCTGCTGGCATCGCTTTTTTGAGGCGAAGTGGGACAGTTCGGCCCCTCGTCCGCATTAGGCTAATAATGCAACAAAGTACACAGGTCATATTGCTTCTTCCTCCTATGCGTCGTCCGCTGCTGCGTTCAAAGGCTGCGCACCAAAGGCTTGTTTCTGTGTGCCTGTGGCGAACAGAGGGCTCCGATCCTGGGGAATCAGGGTGAGGGGCAGCGCCAGGCGCATCAGCTTGCACATCGCCTTGTTTGGACACGCATGGGTCATGTATTGAGTGGCCAGCTTCATCAGAAGTAGCAGCTCAAAAGATTTGGCCAGGGCCTCGCTAAGAATTTCATGCTCAATGCATTAAACTCGAACAGCTGTGACATTGCATTTGGGAAAATAGGTCGAAAAATCTGCGATCTGTGACAATCTGTGCCTGCCAGCATGCCGCATGCCAGTTTGAACATGTTGGGGCCGGCTCAGGGCACATGCCGAAAACGGGATCCAAACGGATTTGCGACGAATTTCGATAAATGCTCAGCTTGGCCAGCCATGAGCACATCTCGGGAATGGACTCAGACGCCTCAGTAGACCTCGACATGGTAACCTCAGATGCGCAACACCCAATGCGAGCTGTGCTTACAACCGGGTAAGGAGACACGACTTGGCTATCTGGGCTTGTCGACCCGCCACGCGTCAGCGCATAAGGCCATGCATTGTCAAGAAACGAGCATGTGGCTGGCCACACCTGGCCCCTCGCTTGAGCAACCACCGTTCTGACGGGCGGCGCTTGGCCTTCTTCATCGTCTTCAAGAACTCGGCGTAGACCATGCCCTCCGCCTCCACCCGCTCCTCACACTTCACTCGAGAGCATCTGCAAAAGCGTCTGTCCGGGGCATTGCCTCTTTGCAACTTATGTTCCCAAGTGGCACCCATAAACATCCGACACTCCTGGAAGCACTCGGCAAAGCCGCTTTCCATACCCTTGAGGCCGCACATGTAGACGTGCGTCTTGGGGTCCTGCGCACGGGATCGTTTGATTTGAACACTAGCATTCAAACGTCGGTGCCCGGCCGAATTTCATACCTGGAATTCAGCAGCTACATGCAGTGCGGAAGCAGCAAGTGCTGCCAGCTTCCCCGTATGATAGAACAAATCAAGAGTCCTTGACCAGCTCCCACAATTCGTCGGAGTACTGCATCATCTTGTGCTGGACCCACATCTCGCCGTTGATCTTGTTCTTCTCGCACTTCTCCTCGCAAGAGACGGCGTAGTCATAGCGGAACTGGTCCGGGAACTCTGCCTGCATCTCCTTCCACTCCTCGTCGTAGAGCAGGGACTCGCTGTAAGGCACGCCCAGGAAGAGCCAACCCACACCCTTGAAGTTGCCCTTGGAGACCTTGTCATGGAAGAGGTGCCGCAAGTGCGACCGGAAGGGCGCGATGCCTGTTCCGGTGGCCATGAAAATCATGTTGGCCTCCGGGTCTTCGGGCAAAAGCATCTCCGCCCCGGTCGGGCCTGTGATCATCACGTCGTCTCCTGCGTTCATGTCACAAATGTGGCTGGAGCACACCCCACGGTACACCTTCTCCGCATCCGGGAACTCTGCATCCTGGCCCTGTGGCACGTTGGAGTACTCGCACCAGCCCTTGCCTGACACCTCCACCACCCTCTTCACCACCAAGGACACCGTCTTGTTGCTCTCGTCGTCTCCCGGGGACGACGATGCGATGGAGTACAACCTGATCTTGGCGGGCGTCTCACCCTTCTTGTCCGGGCCAGGGGCGATGACACCAATAGACTGGCCCTCAATGTATGGGACGCTGCCTCCGTGGTCCATGATCACATGGCAGGTCTCCCAGTTCACCAACGCAGTCTTGGTGGTGATAGTCTCCTTGCTCACGCAGCTGCCTTTGTAAGGCGCCTTCGGGCTGAAGAGGTTCCAGGGGATCTCCTGCCCGGCTAGATGCAGCTGTTGCCAGCATGTGGATGAACGGGCAACTCTTGAGCTTTTTGCTTTTGACCATGCCATCTCAAATGAGAACGCGCGTCTTCCCTGGCTCAACTGTCATCACTCATAAATCTTATTTTAAAAACTAGGCCTCAACATCCTGAACATTCCTGAACTACCCCACCCCGAGCCGGCGCAGTCGTGCTGGCCCCAGTCCCGTCCTTGCCCTCCACGACGCGCACGCCCTTCTTCTTCACCGCGGTGGCGCGGCGCGCCACGCTGCCGCGCCCAACTACGGCACCCACTGCCAAAGCCGTCGCCGCAACGCTGGCGGTGCCACCAATCCTGGCCCCACCAGCAAACCAAAGTTGCAAATCTATCCATAGGTATAAATACATATATATATATATACATGTATGTGTCTCTATCCACAACTATGTCTATACCAGGTTGAGTCTGCCCCATGCCCTACCTCCTTGGAGCTGATGTGCTCGCATGGCTGGGGGTGCTTGTGGCCTGACCCGCCACACGCAGCGCGTGTCGAACCGCGAATCTTGGCGGCTTTGTGTCATCCCGTGCTCTTGCCCTCACCTAGCTCAATACCCAAATGTAGCTACAGCCTTGGAAACCGGGGAAGCTCGCCCAGTTTCAATGCAACGGACATCAACCGACTGTCCGACCACTGGCGCCGGATGAATGAAAGGCGGCCTCTTGGCAACTTGAGGCGCACGCAATTGGTGATGCCACCGGGATGAAGGCAAAGGGAGCGTCCTGAAAGACATTTGAGCACAGGGACATCAAGATTACTATCCTAAAACCATATCCCCTCAGGGAGGCCCTCTGGAACCCCTATCTCAGAGCTTCCGCTCAAAGGCGTGGCTTTGGGTGCCTTTAACCCCTTGCAACTCATCTTACTGCAAGTTAACGCGGAACCTCAAAAAGGCGGTCCAAAATACGTCCCTTTTCCCTGCGCTATCCTCAGGCCTGCACACATAGATGTTTTTGGGTTCCATGTTAGCCTGAGAGGTACAAATCCAATCCCGAGCGTCCAGTGCCATGGTCGATCTTCGCGAGGGCAGGTGACAGCGCGGCACGAAAAAATGACTGCGGAAAGAGCACATGCCGACAATCAAGGTTGGATCTCCTGTCACGCGCGTGTCGCACCATATCGGACCCGTTGTTTACAGTTGATGTTGCCATTGTTCCCCTGCAACACCATCGTAACAAGATATTTTTAGGGACGCACCCTGCTGCAAAGTTCAGCTGAACCCACGGCAACTGCCAATAATTGAACTGGGCTGTTGTTCCATAACTGGGGTCCTGCATTTCCAACCCATACCCCCGGCATCCGACAGGAATAAAGGCTAGAATATTTGAAGAATGCAGGCACTGCTTTCCCCTTCCCGAGCGCCCCTTGACTGTGTTGTGTTCAATCACCAACCCCTGATTTCCTTGTTCTCACTTGCTCAAGGGACGCAGCTCGCTTTGGGCAACTGAGTGTTTCCCCGTGGAACAGGGCATCCGCATGCAATTTCTTTGCGTTTCGATGCGACTTGCGTTAGGCCTGTTGGTATAGGCGGGATCCCGCTGAGGATGGAGCCAGTACCAATTTAAAGCTATGTCAGTGTCAGGTCTTTATTCGACATCTCTGTTCCTAAGACAACCCCTTTCAGGGCATAGTGGTCAACTGCAGCCCGTACTTCCTATGCGACTCTCAGAAAATGGCTCGTACCAAATTTGCTACCATCTTTGCCTGACCCTGCCTTGTTTTTGCAATGCGCTTATTCTACCCTCCCCCGCCTATCTCAAGAAAAATGAATCGCAATTTTTCCATCTCGCATCCGCGACATGGCCGATAGATCGCCCACAAGTGTTTGCAGAAATTATTGTAATGTGAGACACTGCCAGGGGCGTGCTAGGAACGCACTCCACCCTGAGAAAATTGAAAGAAAAAGCCTGACGCCAAGGCACAACCGGCCCAGGCCGTCTGAAGCGCAAGCAGCAACCCACAGAAACACCTGGAAAACAATGCGAGTTGTGCAATTCTGCCGGCCCATAAACTCAGTACACCTCCACATGGTATCCTTGGCTCAGGTCATGCTAAGTGCACTGCCATTTGCACCTCTCTTGGAATGGATCTGGCAATGGAAAACCCACCTGATGAAGCATATGCTCCTGGCCTCTTTCTTGGCTTTCCTGGGGCTATGGCCTTGTTTCAACCAGCTTGCCTGCCACTGATGCCGCCAGGCGGCGCTTGGCCTTCTTCATCTGCTTCAAGAACTCGGCGTAGACCATGCCTTCCGCCTCCACCCGCTCCTCACACTTTGGAGTGTAAGATCTGCAAAGGCAAGGCGGCGACTCTGCAGCCCTCATGCACAGAAATTCTCGCTACCTGTTCTAGCTAGCTCTGTCCGTGGCATGTTCCCAAGTGGCACCCATACACATCCGTCAGCACTCCTGGAAGCACTCGGCAAAGCCGCTCTCCATACCCTTGAGGCCGCACATGTAGACGTGCGTCTTGGGGTCCTGTGCACGGTGCTTGTGCCACAACCTGCTGCGTTTGCTTCGCATTGCAGGATGAAACCAGTTGTACACCCCCCCCCCCCCGGAGTACACGTTCCATTTTCCCACCCACAAGTGAGTAATTTTGAAGGAACTTGGCTTTGCTACATGCAATGCGGAAGCCATATGATAGAACAAATCAGAGTCCTTAACCAGCTGCCACAATTCGTCGGAGTACTGCATCATCTTGTGCTGGACCCACATCTCGCCGTTGATCTTGTTCTTCTCGCACTTCTCCTCGCAAGAGACGGCGTAGTCATAGCGGAACTGGTCCGGGAACTCTGCCTGCATCTCCTTCCACTCCTCGTCGTAGAGCAGGGACTCGCTGTAAGGCACGCCCAGGAAGAGCCAAGCCACACCCTTGAAGTTGCCCTTGGAGACCTTGTCATGGAAGAGGTGCCGCAAGTGCGACCGGAAGGGCGCGATGCCTGTTCCGGTGGCCATGAAAATCATGTTGGCCTCCGGGTCTTCAGGCAAAAGCATCTCCGCCCCGGTCGGGCCTGTGATCATCACGTCGTCTCCTGCGTTCATGTCACAAATGTGGCTGGAGCACACCCCACGGTACACCTTCTCCGCATCCGGGAACTCTGCATCCTGGCCCTGTGGCACGTTGGAGTACTCGCACCAGCCCTTGCCTGACACCTCCACCACCCTCTTCACCACCAAGGACACCGTCTTGTTGCTCTCGTCGTCTCCCGGGGACGACGATGCGATGGAGTACAACCTGATCTTGGCGGGCGTCTCACCCTTCTTGTCCGGGCCAGGGGCGATGACACCAATAGACTGGCCCTCAATGTATGGGACGCTGCCTCCGTGGTCCATGATCACATGGCAGGTCTCCCAGTTCACCAACGCAGTCTTGGTGGTGATAGTCTCCTTGCTCACGCAGCTGCCTTTGTAAGGCGCCTTCGGGCTGAAGAGGTTCCAGGGGATCTCCTGCTCTCAGCACGCATAGTTGTGCTCTCCCAAGGGGCCGTGACATACTCTGCCCCGCGTATATGTCTGCACCATTCTACCCAAAACAGTTACCAACTAAAATCCACGATTCTGCTGATCCGCTTCGGCACCCAGGTCATTTCTCCCCTCACATGAGAATGCGCATCCGCCCTGGCTCAACTATCACCCCATCCCAAGTCGCGTCCTTGCCCTCCACGACACGCACGCCCTTCTTCTTCACTGCGGTGGCGCGGCGCGCCACGCTGCCGCGCCCAATCACGGCACCCACTGCCAAAGCCGTCGCCGCAACGCTGGCGGTGCTGCCGATCCTGGCCCGGCCAGCAAACCAAACACCGCACACACATTCGGCTCGCAAAGATGAGACCCCCGTCGCACCCAAGTTTGCAGTGAGTCATGTCAGGCCACTGACTGAGCTCTTGTGCGTTCCCTGCCCTGTGCCCCGCCTTCTTGGAGCCGATGTGCTCGCGTGACTGGGGGTGCTTGTGGCCTGATGTTTTTGCCACTAGAGGACAGACCTTAAAGCCCAGAAACCTGGGGCCTGAGCTTAAGACCCCAAAGGTCAGCATCTCTCTATGTTCCTCTCTTTTTGTTTATTTGTTTCCTCTGTCTCTTGCATTATGTATTTATTTCTTTCTTTCTTTCTTTCTTTCTTTTCTCTCTCCGTCTCTCTTTTCCCTTCTGTCAAGCTGTGCACCTCCGGACCTGGGGCGCCCGCAATGGGCGAGGCGACAGGGACGAAAGCGAGGGAAGCGGCGTCCTTGCATAGGTCACGAACTTGGAGCAACTCCCATGGACTCAGCAGCCTTCCACGATTTAGTGTTTGCGCCCATCCAAAAACAGGGGGGGTCATAAATCACAAAACATGTGATGAACAACTGTCAGGAAACACGGAAAATACCTGAAAGCCCGTGTTGAACGTTAATTTTCCAGTCTCATGCCCGTCTCAAGGAAAAAAAAAAAACAAAAAACATGTTCCAGAGCTGATCCCAGGCAGCCTACTTCCTTGGGACCACTGTTTGGCCCATAGCAACACGGGGCTAAGCATTTTATGCGAGCGTCCAGAGCCATTGCGGGTTTTCCTTTCCGCGAGTCGGGCACGAGAAAAATGGCTGCGGAAAACATCGGCTTCCAATTTTACAATCCAGGGAAAGGCCCCTGTGATGCGTCAGATTGTCTAGCCTTTGCAAGATGACTCCGACAGCTCCAGAGCGCCCAGTTGCCTCGCAAGACAGTTAGATATATGCATCTCTCACTTCCACACATCCTCAGAAACCGAGGCCGCTCGAACACAATTCTGCGCGCTGACACTTGTTTTGGATCCGCGCCATGTGGTGTGGCAAATAAATTATGCCACAGGAAAGGGTTTGCAGCATGCGACTGCTAATGTGAAACGAGCAGGAGGGTGCCAAGCAGCATCCCTCTTTTCAAGAAAGGAAAATACAAAGAGTTGTGCTGGACAGATGCAGGATGCATCTCCCAAGTGACTAAGTGAAAGGGGCAGAATGCCGAAATGTCTTGGAGTCAGGGCATCTTGTGCTGGTCAAGCGCTTCAGTACACTTCCACATGGTATCCTGAGCTGAGACATGGCTCTGCTGACTTGCCATATGTTCGTGTTGGGAAAAGCTCGGATGGGTGGCTGCGTCCTTACCTCTCCCGTATATAAATATATATATATATATATATAGCACAAGTACTGCTGTACTGCTGACGGGCGGCGTTTGTCCTTCTTCATCTTCTTCAAGAACTCGGCGTAGACCATGCCCTCCGCCTCCACCCGCTCCTCACACTTCACTCGAGAGCATCTGCAAAAGCGTCTGCCCGGGCAGCCTCTTTGCGACTTATGTTCCCAAGTGGCACCCATAAACATCCGACACTCCTGGAAGCACTCGGCAAAGCCGCTCTCCATACCCTTGAGGCCGCACATGTAGACGTGCGTCTTGGGGTCCTGTGCACGGTGCTTGTGCCACAACTTCTGCCGCCCTGCTGCGTTTGCTTCGCAGTGCAGGATTAAAATAGCTGTACATGAGACCCCCCCCCCCGGTGTATACGTTCCATTTTCCTACCCACAAGTAAGTAATTTTGAAGGAACTTGGCTTTGCTACTTGCAATGCGGAAGCAGCACGTGCTGCCAGCTTCCTCGTATGATAGAACAAATGAGAGTCCTTAACCAGCTCCCACAATTCGTCGGAGTACTGCATCATCTTGTGCTGGACCCACATCTCGCCGTTGATCTTGTTCTTCTCGCACTTCTCCTCGCAAGAGACGGCGTAGTCATAGCGGAACTGGTCCGGGAACTCTGCCTGCATCTCCTTCCACTCCTCGTCGTAGAGCAGGGACTCGCTGTAAGGCACGCCCAGGAAGAGCCAAGCCGCACCCTTGAAGTTGCCCTTGGAGACCTTGTCATGGAAGAGGTGCCGCAAGTGCGACCGGAAGGGCGCGATGCCAGTTCCGGTGGCCATGAAAATCATGTTGGCCTCCGGGTCTTCAGGCAAAAGCATCTCCGCCCCGGTCGGGCCTGTGATCATCACGTCGTCTCCTGCGTTCATGTCACAAATGTGGCTGGAGCACACCCCACGGTACACCTTCTCCGCATCCGGAAACTCTGCATCCTGGCCCTGTGGCACGTTGGAGTACTCGCACCAGCCCTTGCCTGACACCTCCACCACCCTCTTCACCACCAAGGACACCGTCTTGTTGCTCTCGTCGTCTCCAGGGGACGACGATGCGATGGAGTACAACCGGATCTTGGCGGGCGTCTCACCCTTCTTGTCCGGGCCAGGGGCGATGACACCAATAGACTGGCCCTCAATGTATGGGACGCTGCCTCCGTGGTCCATGATCACATGGCAGGTCTCCCAGTTCACCAACGCAGTCTTGGTGGTGATAGTCTCCTTGCTCACGCAGCTGCCTTTGTAAGGAGCCTTCGGGCTGAAGAGGTTCCAGGGGACTTCCTGCCAAGCGCGGCACACTTGCGCACGGCACGCACAGACACAAACACACAAACACACAAACACAGACACACACACAAACACGAGCGCAACACTCGAAAGCAAGCCAACAATTCACAAGCAGAAGCAACACACAACAAGAACAACACAAATGTCCAAACACCCGCAGGGACACATACCCACAACTTCACTGGCACCCGCCTTTCCTGGCACCCGCAGATGCCTGCACGCAAACCTTACACAACACAAGTGCAATCACAAATGCGCACGGCACATACACAAACACATCAAATGAAAAGATGCACCACACAAATCCAGCACAAACGTAAGCACAAACACACACACAGACACACACACAGACACAGACACAGACACAAACACAGACACAGACACAGACACAGACACAGACACAGACACAGACACAGACACAGACACAGACACAGACACAGACACAGACACAGACACAGACACAGACACAGACACAGACACACCCACACCCACACCCACACCCACACCCACACGCACACGCACACGCACACGCACGCGCACGCGCACGCGCACGCGCACGCGCACAAACACACGAACCAAATAACACAATCGCACGCAAACAAACAAGCAAGCAAGCAACCCAAAAAGCAAACACACAACTTGTCACAACCACACTAACCATGCAAACGCAATAAGCAAACAAACCAAACAAAAAACAAGCAAACAACTAAACAAATCAGCAAACACAAGCAACTAAGCCAACAAACAAACAAACAAACAAACAAACAAACAAACAAACCAACGAACCAATAAACAAACAAATAAACATACATACATACTAATACATACAAACAAACAAACAAACGCACAGACAGACAGACAAACAAACCACACCAAACCAAACCAAGAAACCAATAAACAAGAAGCAAACAAACAAACAAACAATCAGACAGGCAAACAAACAATCCAAATCCAATCCAAACCAAACCAAACCAACCAACAAACACAACAAACAAACAAAACAACAGGCTGCAATACAAAACCAAACGCACACACACACACACTACATATAGCTCATTGTTTGAAGCGACTTGGCCAACATGGGCGCATGCCGAGAAACATATCAGTGCCAAGGCTTGCACAGCCTTCAAGCGACCTATGAGAGTCAGACCACCTGCCTGACTCGTCCTGAATGACTGAAAACCGTCTCCCACCCCCAGGCATGGATTCCGGTGCCCACTCGGGGGAGATGCATCATGGGCGCTATCCCTCCCCTCTCCAACTACCCCGCCCTGAGCCAGCTGGCCCCAATCCCGTCCTTGCCCTCCACGACGCGCACGCCCTTCTTCTTCACTGCGGTGGCGCGGCGCGCCACGCTGCCGCGCCCAACCACGGCACCCACTGCCAAAGCCGTCGCCGCAACACTGGCGGTGCTGCCCATCCTGCCGACCATTAAACAAAAACACACACACACACATTCATTCTGCTAGCAAAAGATGAGACCGCCATCCCACCCAAGTCTGCAGTGAGCCATGTCAGGCCACTGACTGAGCTCTTGTGCTCTCCCTGCCCTGTGCCCCACTGCCTTCTTGGAGCCGATGTGCTCGCGTGGCTGGGTGTGCTTGTGGCCTGATGCTTGCGTCGTGTGAGGCACGCAATTCAGCAGCGTGCAACAACATCCCGTGTTTCGCATAACAAAGTTCCCACACCAAACATGGCATCCACCACAACTGGATTCCCAGGCTACTTTCAACAGATGTCAATCAGGGATCAACATAAACATGGAAGCCGGCCGACTCCACTGACACCACCCGCTCCACACAACTTAGGCAATGGCCATAGGCAAGGCCACGGGGACAAAGGCCAAGGATGCGGAGTCCTTATGCGCTGAACGCAAACCAAGCCTCCAACCCATAGTCCGATTTGGCTGTGGGTCAAAACCAACGGGATCCCATTTTGGGGTAGGTGCACCACCCATTTTAGTCCAATTTAATGGGGATTGGGATGTTCACGTAACCCCTGCGTAAATGGCTTGCTTCATACCCCTTCCCCCACCCCAACAAAAAAGGAGGATACGCACCACATATAAAAAATGGGTTGGCCACCGGGCAAGCAAGGGGTATGAACAAGGGGTACGCTCTGAAACTTCCAGCGCTCACCCTTTAACCATGCTGTTTGCATCCCTGCGTCCAGCGCCATGGCTGCTCAGTGGATTTCTACAGCACAACTGAAAAATGGCTGCGCTCAAAGCTTCTCCCCAACTCACCTAACTTCAGGTAGGTGACCAGGTGGGTGGGGAGGGGCCTCCGAAATCCATCTGACCAGCGCGGGGAAATCTAGCCGCTGCGCCTCTCTCTAAGCGCCTCTCTCAAACCGTGTCCTGTCACAGAGCCTAGAAAGCCCCACGAAAACAGAGTAGGGTACCCATGTGTGCAAGCGTGTTACACAAGCCGTTGGGGGCTGCAACGTAGGCACGCCCTGTGTTTGCAGTTTGCTTTGGGCCTGCCCGTCACTTGACATCCAGAAAACACTCATTTGTAGTGAAACTCTTCTTGGGGCAGGCCCCTTTTAGGGTTCCATGTTCATTTGCAGGGGAGTAAGTGCCTTTGCAAATGCAAGCGCCCGCTCCCACGCTACCCAACCCCCCCCCCAAGGGCACCCCATGACCTCCTCATCTCGGGGCCAAGGCACTCAACCCAACTGCGTGCCTCAATGTTCAAGTCCTTCTATTTAACATGTGCCCATGGTCACTCGAAAACATGGGGCAAGCTCTCGGTGCTTCCAGGCTTATTTCTATCTCGCATCGTGCGACATCGCGGACTGCGCCGCAAAAACATAGTCTGAGTCTGCAGAAGATCGACAGACCGTGCAGAACACCGCTGCTGAAAATTATGTGATCCCCAGCTGGTGCATAGCACCTGACGCTAGGGTGCTCATGCTGACCAGAGCCCAAAGCTCCGGAAATGCAGGAGCAACAACAATTCCTGAAAAACCACAAGTTCTGAGTATGTTAGCAGCGTTTCAGCCAAACTGGGCGATTTAGTACACCTCCACATGGTAGCCTTAGCTGCAGCTTAACTGCTGACAGTGGCCCATTCATGGTGCCTGTCTGCGGCCACCGTCACCTGCCTGAAAAGAAAAGAACTCCACGCATGGTCCAACAAGTCTAACATTCGTGTTTGGGTACGCCAAAACACCAGGGGGAGCCAACAAATGTGGCTGTAAAATTCTGTTCTCCTTGGGTCAAGGCTCAAATTCATGTAGATTCCTTCTCATGTCATCTTTGCTGACGGGCGGCGCTTGTCCTTCTTCATCTTCTTCAAGAACTCGGCGTAGACCATGCCTTCCGCCTCCACCCGCTCCTACCAGTTCGAGTGGCAAGAAGATGTTCTGACATTGCTGGAAAGCTGGTTCAGGTTGCCAATGCATTGCATTGTGCCTTCCTGCTTTCTCCCCCATTTCCCGAGGTTCGTCGCACATTCCAAGAGCCCAGGAACCACTGGAAGCGCTCCTGGAAGCACTCGGCAAAGCCGCTCTCCATACCCTTGAGGCCGCACATGTAGACGTGCGTCTTGGGGTCCTGCGCTTCAAATTGCTCAAGTGCCCGGAGACAACACCCTGCGAATGCTCGCCAGGAGAAGTGCTTGACAAAAGCAATCCTTCACCTGGAAGCTAAGGCTGTCGGGGCCTGCATCGGCTTCACATCGTTTGGGTTCGGCTTTGCTGTAGCGTTTGTGCGGCAAGGAACCTGTCGTCGGCCTAAGCCTCCCCATCACAGAGGGTTGCAGGGCAGGTTTTGCATCCATTGCATCGTCCAGCTCGCTTCTGGGAGCGCAATTTGCGTTGTCATTGTGCTGAGGTATGTTGGGCCTCTGAACTGCCGGAGCGTGGCTTCAGGGAACATGCGGTGCTTTCCTTTCGTTCCGGGAAGCTTTTAGCCGGCTTGCTCGAACACTCAGCGTCATCATTCCGCTGAAGCCGTGTACGGTGTAACTGAACTTGTTGAGTTTCAGGACGGCAGCCTATGCATCCCAAGCCTCGTTTTCGTTCTGGTTTTCTGGTTTTCTGGTTTGGTCCGGCTACTGCGACTTTGGCAACTCACCAGGCTCTGAGTGCCGAGACAACTGTGTGACAGCCGATTGTCCACATACACGAGGATAAAGAGCTGTGTTACAAACGCATTTGTCATATCTTACAAACTTAAGCTGGCTCGTACTACATGCCGGTTCAATCAACTCATGGTGTTGAAGTTGTGTGGTGTTTGCGTGCTTCTGCTTCTTGCTTTGTGTCTGCTTGTGCTGGTGTTTGCGTTTGTATGGCGCGTTTTTCAGGCTGGTTCCAAGGGTGACCATCTTCCATGTTTTCCGGGGGGAGTCCAATCTTCACACACACGCACGCACACACACCCGTGGGAAGTGCTGTCGCTCCGAACTCTGGTCGCTCTGGCTTGCGAGGGTTCACAGGAAAAACGGGTGGCCGGAGGTCCCAAAGGAACCGGCCGTATTTTCGATCCAGCAAAAACCAGAGCCGCTCCAACTGGGGGGGTGTCGATTGTCCGGATCCCAATCCGGACTGACCTGTGGGCAACCAGTACTTGCTCTAAGGAAGGATTGATCTTAAGCAAGCTGGGCATGCTGCAAGCTGGGCGTCCTTGACCAAATCCCACAAGTCGTCGGAGTGCTGCATCATCTTGTGCTGGACCCACATCTCGCCGTTGATCTTGTTCTTCTCGCACTTCTCCTCTTGGTTGCTGTTGACCCCCGTGCAAAAAGCGCAACTTTTGGGGGTTTAGTGGAAAACATTCTTATTTCCCAAAAAGTTAAAGTCTAAAGATCCAACCCACTAGCAGTCAAGTCCTCGCAAGAGACGGCGTAGTCATAGCGGAACTGGTCCGGGAACTCTGCCTGCATCTCTTTCCACTCCTCGTCGTAGAGCAGGGACTCGCTGTAAGGCACGCCCAGGAAGAGCCAAGCCACACCCTTGAAGTTGCCCTTGGAGACCTTGTCATGGAAGAGGTGCCGCAAGTGCGACCGGAAGGGCGCGATGCCTGTTCCGGTGGCCATGAAAATCATGTTGGCCTCCGGGTCTTCAGGCAAAAGCATCTCCGCCCCGGTCGGGCCTGTGATCATCACGTCGTCTCCTGCGTTCATGTCACAAATGTGGCTGGAGCACACCCCGCGGTACACCTTCTCCGCATCCGGGAACTCTGCATCCTGGCCCTGTGGCACGTTGGAGTACTCGCACCAGCCCTTGCCTGACACCTCCACCACCCTCTTCACCACCAAGGACACCGTCTTGTTGCTCTCGTCGTCTCCCGGGGACGACGATGCGATGGAGTACAACCTGATCTTGGCGGGCGTCTCACCCTTCTTGTCCGGGCCAGGGGCGATGACACCAATAGACTGGCCCTCAATGTATGGGACTTTGCCTCCGTGGTCCATGATCACATGGCAGGTCTCCCAGTTCACCAACGCAGTCTTGGTGGTGATAGTCTCCTTGCTCACGCAGCTGCCTTTGTAAGGCGCCTTCGGGCTGAAGAGGTTCCAGGGGATCTCCTGCTCCGAGGCCACTAGCGACAAAACCCGCCGCTCTTGCAATGCAAGGGCATACCCCGCCCAATCGCCGAGGTCGCCCGTGTACATGTCTGCAAATCCTACCAAAAGAGTTCCAGTTACCGTGTCCCCTGTCCCATCCGTCCTTGCCCTCGACGACACGCACGCCCTTCTTCTTCACTGCGGTGGCGCGGCGCGCCACGCTGCCGCGCCCAACCACGGCACCCACTGCCAAAGCCGTCGCTGCAACACTGGCGGTGCCACCAATCCTGCCGGCCATTGAACCAGAACACAAACTTGACACAAACAAACAAACAAACAAACAAACAAACAAACAAACAAACACACACAAACACAAACACAAACACAAACACAAACACAAACACAAACACAAACACACACAAACACACACACACACAAACACACAAACACACACACACAAACACACACACACAAACACACAAACACACAAACACACTCAACAGGGAAAGAAACACAGCGAACCAGAAACCGGGACCCTTATTAACCCCAGTCCGGTAGGCGAGCGCAAACCCTGGTTTTGATCTGATGGGCATCCTTGAGCCAAATGGTCATTGCCATTCGACATGTCACTTGAAACACATGCAGTCAATGGGGCCTCTAACATCACATGCATGCACACCCTTCTGGGGTACCTCTTTGGGGGTCAAGGGGTCGTGATTATTCAACTCCCCCCTCCCCGTGCTCACTAAGAGACTTGTATTTTACAGTCGCGCTTGAGCTGCGACCCATGTGATGCAAGGTCCTTTACCAGACCATAAAGAGGGCTTACCTTTGATTTCTGCACTTTTGTTAATGCTTGGTCATCTCAGGCCGGACATCTTTTAACTTTTCGGGCAAATTGGTTCTGATGCCCAAAAGTTTGAGAGCGTGGTCCCACTTCAAGGGTTGCAGTGCTTTTGTGAAGATGTCTGCTGCCTGGAGATCGGTTGCTACGTACTTGATTACTACGCCCGTGCCGGGTTCAAGTTGCTCAGCAAGTGCGGACAAGTTCACTTTATGAGTGCGCTGTATGTGCCGCATTTTCGGAGAGTAACCTTTCTTGGCAACGAGGATAGTGGCTTGGTTATCTTCGTGCAGCACCAGCTCGACTGGGCGTCCAAGCAAACGTTCCCACAAGGTCAAGGAGGGAAGGCCCTCTTGATACAAGGAAAATGTGAGCGAAACGACCTCAGCTTCGGTGGTGGACCTCGACACGGATGTCTGCCGTTTGCTGAGCCATGCTAAGGGGAAATGGGTGTTTGGTCCTTTGAGGACCAGGAAGCCACCGGATGTGGACTTCGCATCCCTTTCCCCAGCATAGTCGGCATCAGCGTACAATGCGAGGTGAAGATTTTGTGGGTCATCTTTTATGACCCCTACCAAGCGATAGTGGGTCGTCGAGTGGATGTACGCGATAAGACGGGCGAGTTGCCTATCATGGTTGCGAGACCACTTCTGAACGGCGGTTGCTAAGTCACCTATGGGCTTGATGATGTCAGGACGTGCTAGTCGTCCCAGCCATAAGGCCTTCATGAGGAGTTTGCACGCATTTGGGGCTAGCTCACCAGCTGACTGATCATCTTCAGGAGGAAGTGATCCGTCTGGACAGAACGGAGTAGTTACCTT